TAACCGATTAGTAGAATTGCAATTAAAAATATATTTTGATTAGCTTTTATTCGACTTTTATATCTATTTTTTCATATTACAAAAAGTCGAAATAAATAATCCAGTTCCCCAAAAACCTAAACCCGCCTTAAAGTTATGATTCACATTGCTTTCAAAAAATATTTTAGTAAGCTTTAATTTGTGTTCTTTACTGAATATTTTATACTATGCTTATATCTTGAGTTTTCGTTCCCTTTCCCAGATCTAGATTTACACGTATAGAGGGAATCGAACGTATTATATTAAATATCATGAAAAGGATGTACTAAGGGTTGACTTTGAGAACTGAAATAGAACAAAATATAAAAAAACCTAAAACTGCACATTCATTAGAAAAATAAACTAAAAAATTCAAATAGCGGAAATTAAAACAGTCTTGTCCATAGAATTGGTTCCGTCTAATCAAACATTTAACAAATTTATTAATTTATATAAAAAACTCTCTCAGTTAAACTAACACTAACATATATCCGGATATAGCTTAAAACGTGTAATTCAGTAAGAAGAAACCGTTACCTAGACCTCTGCAACCCTAAGATACTTGTTTGATTCATATACCTGACTACTTCAAACAAAAAAATCTTAACAATAACAACCCATCTTTATATACAGATTAATAAGTTCTATAATTCCAGCATTGATAATAACTATGCTAAATCATAGGCGTAGCGATGGAGGAGGAGAACGTTTTATTCTCTTCGAAAATTTGTTCATTTTAATAAATATAATTTTGCCAATAAAAAAATTCCCTACACTTGTCCATCCCTTCCCTCCCTTTTCTCCAAAACTATGCAATAAATAATTATAAATAATAAAAGTAAATCATTTTGAAAAATAATTAATTCAAAATTTTGAGAGAAAAGGTCATTTTAATTAGGCTGGGCCCAAATAATTAAAAAATCTATTAGAAAACTTTTAAACCTATATCGAAAAACACGAAAATATATGGCCAAAACATTTTTGTAAAATATTCAAAACTTAATCATTAGATTCGGGATGCAGGCCAGAACGAAACATTTATAATTGACCATTTCATGTTATCAATGAACATGGAACTAGATTGTCAATGAATTCATTAATGTATGTTGATCAAAGTGTTCTTAGCTGAATCTTAGGTAACAGTTGATAGTATATTTAACAAATCAAATATAGGAGTGTGATTGTTTAAACCAGGGGTTCGAAATGAACCCGAACCCAGAGAAGAAAACCCGGGATTTTGGGAAAAAAATTTGAACCCGAACCGAACCTGAATCCCGTTTATAAAATTTTCAAAACCCCGAACCGAACCTGGGAATTTTATTTGAACCCAGGTTCAACCGGGTTTGTGAATTGTTTAAATTAATATAAGATATTTGTATAATTGTAAATAAAATACTAATAATTTACTTGACATTTTATAATATTTTCAAATTTCCAATTAAGTGAAGTGTTAATAGATTTTAAACAACTTAATTCATTTACTCCATTTTTAAATTTTTTAAATTTATTCTCAAAGATTCCTATTGGATTGTTAATAAATTTTAAACAATTAAATTCATTTAGGCCATTTATTTTTAATTTTTAACTTATTCTCAAAGATTATTAATTTGAGGAAAATGAAAGTGAACAAGTCAAAGTAAAAATTATTATATTGGATTTTGTTAATTTAAAGAAATAAGTCTAAATAAATTTTTTTAAATCTATTCATGACTATGCTTTGTATTTTTACTATATTTTGTCTATAACAAAAATTTTATTTTTTATACCAAATTTATGTTTAGTTCTTTAATTATGATTTAAATATAGAATTATTTTTTTATCAATTCAAAAATTCTTAAACCCGAGCTGAACCCGGAACCAAACCCGGGTTAAAAAATATTTACCTAAACCAAACCCGAACCGAACCCACTTATTTTTTTAACCTTAAACCCTACCGAACCCGGGCATGGTTTAAACGAAGTTAATAGTTATATATTTTATAAAATAAATATTTGATGAGGCCTTTCTGAACATTTTTTGATAGTGAAGTCAAACAGAGCTTAGAATAGCTGATCGGAATAAGACAGAACAGGAAAGAAAAATTAAAGAATATAAGAGAGTACAATGACGCCAAAAACGAAAAACCAATACAGGCAATAACTGATATGAACAAAGTAAAATAGAATATAATAAACTGAACTAAATAAATCAACAAAGCAAATCATAATGAACAAAGCAGAATAGATTAAAATCGAAAATAGAAAATAGCAAAACAGAAAATAACAGAAAAGGATCTACACAGAATGTATCAAAGTATAAGAGTACAGAGCAGAAAATGGATGAAAAAATAAAATCATAACTGAATAGTGAAATAAACAACTCAGAACAAACCCGAGCATAGTAGAGAGAGGCAGATAAAAATATGCCATCAAGAAAGATCGGAGCAGAAGAGAAAAGAGTATAGAAGACCAGAGTAAAACAGAGAATAGCAGATCAAAACAAAAGAGAGCTGAGCATTTCAGAGCAGATTATGGCCGATCAGATAGATAAGAACAGAAGAGAACAAGCAAATGGGAATATGGTAGATAAAAAAAAACAAAAAGAGCCGAGGAAATAAGAATAGAACAACTAATTCTTAGATCAAAGCAGGCAATATCAGAACAGAATAAAATGAAAATTATGAGCATCAATAGAAAAAGAAAAGTGTAAAGGATATTAATAAAGAGTGGAAATTGAACTAAACAGAAAAAAGAGTGCATAACAAACCAGATGAAAATAAAATACAGAAGAGAGCAGAAAAGATTGGGGAAAAAAAAGAACAAAAAAGAGGAAAACTTAAAAAATAAATAAAATCAACGATAAAGAGCAACTAAATAGAACATAATAAATAGAACTAAGAACACACAAACCATAAACAGAAACTATGGGAGAACCTAAAAAAACAAGAGAGGGGCGAAAAACAATAAAAACAGAACAAAATAAAAACACATACGAAACTAAGCAGATTTGAGAAAAGCAAAACAGAAAATGAGTTGAGAAAAATGGAGCAGAGCTGTGTAGCGCATAAATAAATTGGTGTTATAGTTTGAGCTTGATTATATAATATGATACTACATTTAAGGATTCTTTTAGTAATATATTTTGATAGTAATATTTTTTTTATTATTCGACAATTCATGAGTTCTTAAAATATAGATGTGGTAATAATGACAAAATTGGCTTGTTATATTCAATATCATAGGAAAATATTTTCCCAAATCTTTTGCTCATACCATCGATGATAGCATTTAATGAAGGTAGAAATATTGCAAACTTGAATTTTCAAGTTTAAGTTTACCTAAGTATGATATAGGATATTCCACCTGATCATACATGGAAATTTTAGCTGATTACCCCCTGTTATCTCCCTTATCTTTTCAGAAGATTTGGGCCAGCCAGTTCCATAATTTAGTAAATTTTCCCATTACTCCATCTTTTTTATTTTGTGTAATTATTAGTTTTACTTTTAAATGGTATTAAATCAAGCTGATTTACTGAGTTGAGTGATTTTTTTATGGTGGTGGAGTTTTCTGGTTTTTTTCCCTGCTCTTTATAATTCAACTTATGGGTATAAATGCCTATAACTAAATTTAAAAAAAAATAAAAATATAATATTATAACTTCATATAATCATATAAATAATATGATTTAATATGTTTAACATAATTTGTATAGGAGTTTGTTGCTTTATGATTTTTTGATATTAGAGGTGTTTTTGAGTTGAATCATTTTAAGAAGATTTCCATCTAAAAATTTAAAATTAGGATCAGGGGAACTTATTTCTATAATTTTCTTACTAACTTCTTCGCCATTACCATAAGTGATAATCATAAATTAAAAAATATTACATAAAATTGGTAATGATATTCAATCGAGAAAAATATATTCTTTACTTATTTCGTTTTGATATTGTTATTTTTTATCTATTAATCTTAATGGTTGTAAATTTACCAGCTAATTTTGGTTGTCAATATATTTAAAATATGGCGAAAGAAATAAGGAAATTAATACAAGATTATACTGATATCTTTTTAAACCTGAATTTTGAAAAGAATCTGAATATTTTATCAAGAAATTGAAAAGATATGAGATTTCTTCAGAATGAAGGATTTTAGTTATCTTATTAAAAATGTCAAAAAGATATTAAGAACAAGATACAAAAGGATCTTGTACTTTAGATACAAGCATAGGCGGTACTCTCAACTCTGATAATATTGATTTAAAGAAATCATGAGTATGTAATTATTTAATAAAGTATAAAATTATTGCAAACTGAAATTAAGCAATATAAACATAAAGTCTAATACTAATTTATCAGGAATGATTTTTAAATAATTTTATCTTATATTACTCTTAATAATTTAAATTTATTTCAAATTGAAGTTTTACTTTTTATATTAAATATAAAAAATAAAATAAAATTTATTTTTTTTAATTTCATTTCATTTTATTAAAACTATTATATATTAAATATAAAAAAAATCAATGACATATTGTCATTGATGCATAAAATAGTATAAATTTAAAATTAATTCTGAGAAAAGTATAATTGAGTTTCTAAATGGAACAATAGTTAAATTTGAAAATATATATTTGTAAGTTCTGTCTGAGGAAAAGAATTCCATTGGTTCAGATATTTGCGATTTGATTTTGTGAACTATAGAATTTAAAATTGCTCTATTTGTTATTTTTTAGTCTCATTTTGTCAAGTGTTCTTAATGTAAGATGCGACAGCTAATGTTTATATATTCGATATATTATTAAAATTATCAACTAAATATACGAAAATATTATCAAAATTAATATTAAAATATTATTGTCATACATAACAAATACAATATAAATAAAAATAACCAAAATTATTGAATCAAATATAAAATAAATATTTAGCTGTCAATATCTTTGTATCTATCTTCAAATTATTTTATGATTGACATTTATCATATGTTATATACTATATAAGATCTCCCTTTGGAAATATTTTTGAGCGGCAATTTTATATCAGAATGGTTAATGTTGAAAATCTAATATCTCAAGGGAAAAAGCATTTTTTAATGAAAGAATATGAGCAAGCCAGTGATAATTTTGCTGAAGCTTGTGAATTATTGTAAGGACACTTAAATAATATATTTACTTTTTTGATAAAGAGCAGAAACATTTGGTGAGATGGCTGATGAATGTGCAGAACCTCTTTATTTATATGGAAAAGCTTTATTAGAAGCAGGAAGGATGGAAAACAATTTATTAAATAACAACGAAAACGATTCTGAAGCAGGTTTATTAAATAATTTCTTCCTTATATTTTTTGTTAGATGAAGAAGATGAAACACAAAATATTGAAGATACCACTCACAAATTAAATAATATAGAACCTTTTGATGATGAGCCCTTAAACAATTCAGAGGTTTAAAAATAATTATAAATTTTATGGAAGAAATTTAAATACACTATTATAATTGCATTATTTTAGACATTAGATAATATTACAAATTATCAACTTGCTTGGGAAGTTTTAGATTCATCAAGACTGATATATGAAAAGTATGACATAATAATAATCACTAATAATATCTTAATATAGAAAAAATGATAAAGATTCTCAAACCAAATTAGCAGATACATATTTAAAATTAGGAGAACTAAGTCTTGAATTAGGTTTTAATATTAAACATACTTATATAAACTATCATTTAACAGAGAATTATGAAAAAGCAATATCAGATTTAATTAATTGTTTGGAAATTCAAAATATATATTTACAACCTTATGATAGGAGACTAGCTGAAACGTAAAATATTATATTTAAAAAAATTTGATCTTTTAAATATTATTTAGCCATTATAACCTTTCTCTTTCATATTCCCTTTTGTCAAATTATGATTCTGCAATAAAAAGCATTAATGATGCAATCAATACTATAAAAAATCGAATAAGTATTTATAAAAAAATATATACTAAGTTTTATAATATTTAGATTATCTGAATAATTTACCTACTTCATCAGACTTTTCAGGTTTTAAACATTTAATTATTTATATTAGAGTTTTACATGACATGGAAATTTTCAAAACAGTTTTTGGTCCATGTGAAGGAAAAAATCTTTAATTTCTTAAATTTTAAGCTTAAAAAATTTGCAATTTTTAGGTCTATCCCAATAAAAATATATTGGTTTATTAAATAACTAGTTATATCATTTAGGTAGTAGCTGTGGTGCACTAAGCCTTTTCTCTCCCTAATATATATCATTGGCTTTATATAGGTTACTCCATATATAATTTAAGTAAAAAATTAACTAATTAATATAAATGAATAAAAAATAACTTTTAGAATAAGCAGGGCAATAAAGATTATTTTTTATCCAAATATTTTCATTTTCAACCTTTATTTGTTTTATTAAAATAAATTATAATATCAATTAAATTGGAGATAATATCAATTTTATCATGATTTAATATATGGTTTGATAAAACTATAAATTCATACAGTATCACATTAAATCATCAAAAAATAGCTAATTTATAACTTATACTAAAATAAATCAACTCATGACATTTACCTCTTTTATTCTTTGAGTTTTGTATGAATTTGTATTAATTTTGGTATGTTTTTTTTCTGTTGAGTAAAATATTTATCTGTGCATTTTTTTAGATCGCCTATGTGACAAACATATTTCCATTTTTAATTTTTTTTTAATTTCTGGTGAATCCTTATGAATTCATCAAATCAAAAAAATCATTAACATCTTTGAAATAAATTGATTAAACAGTGAATTTATATTCATAGTTTAAATTTATTTTTCAATTTTGACACTATATGTGTAATTTTAAAACTTATTATAGCATTTTTTAGATCTGTTTTCCATGAAAACTCTATTTTCATTATTTTATTTTTGAATACTGCTGGAATTCCTGATGAATTCTTTGATATTTATTTGATGGAGAATTTACCTATTTAATATTTTATTTACATGCATTTTATAGATTATCTTTATATACATTTCAATTGGTCCAGAATTTTAGCCTTTAGTTCCAACTATAGCCAGTTCTTGACAAGGACCCGAACCGTTATTTATAATGGTTCAGTTTGGTTACGGTTCAGTATATAAAAAATTATAATGGTTACGTTTTGGTTACGGTTCTTAAGAAGAAATTTATAAAGGTTCGGTTCAGCTAATTATAATGGTTCATTACGGTTATAATTTTTTTTTTATTGAAACACCATCTCCTAATTTATTTTTATTATAAGCATCTATAAATTATATATAAAAAAAATATATAAGATTCAAAATAACTCATTTTTAAATATATTATTTGAACGTATAAGTAATATATTTTCTAATATAATTGGATTCCTTTTTGTTTTGTGATGATAACACAAATTTTATCCCCAAAAAGCCCTTTCTACAGAAACTTGTATTGCGGGAACCGCCAGTACTATAAGAACAAGTTTATATAATTCTGGATATTCAAATTATTTCCATCTCTAAAATATAAAAACTGAACCAGTTTAACCGTTTTTATAAAGGTTCTTTTTACTCTTTCAAAAAATAATTATATGAGTTCAGTTACGGTTATGGTTCAGATATTTATAATGGTTTAATGGTTCGTTTCGGTTCACTCCAGGTCCCTGGTTCTTGATCATATATGATTAAGGTATGGAATCCATGTGGATGAATCTCTCAATTTTAGACAATTTACCGATGGCAGTTTAAAAAAATTTTAAATCTGATTTATCCAGAAATATATTTCAGCATGTGTAGGGTACTTACTCTAAATTGCAGGCATTATTTACCATAAACATTTTGTTTATTTTTTAATTTGCATGAAAAATTAATATAAATAAGAGTAGTTCTAAAATTGTTTGAAATTCACAATATGAATACTCTATTCATGCTGGAGTACATTTTTGGTCAAACTAGATTTTTTTTAAATAAAAATCGTAGTGATTCTGAATCCCTATAAATTCAATATCCCAATATGACATGTATCAAAACTGAGACAAATCAATGAACCTTAACCTAGAACCTTTCTTTTAAAATTTCCAGTAACAGAGTTAGAACCAGTTCTAACAAAAACAAGAGCAATTTATACCAGAGCAAGGCCTGGCCCATAAAAGCTTTATTAAAAATCAGGTCTTGCCTATTAAATTTTTTCAAAGTAAGCCCCTGTTCATTGAATTTTTTTTTATACAAATTTTGGACATTATGACAATTTAGGCTCTTATATCTCGCCTCTAGTACTATCTATTCCTATAACAACCATTTTATAAATCAATTGTAATCTGTATTTGTAATTGGTAAATAAATTTTGAATTTTTTATGATATTTTCTATATTATTTATGACAGCTCTTAAAATATAAAAAAAAGAATATTGCAATTTATTTCCAAATGATATTATTTTGATATTAAAATTTTAATACATAAGTGGGTCTCTAAAAATTTTTCCCAAAAAATCAAATATTTGCAAAACCCTGTCTGATATTTTTTAGGTATTAATTGTCTGGTTGGTCCATTATAATTTTTTAACTTTTCCAGCCTCTCTCATGGGACAGGTTTTGCAGATCTCTGATTTACATATATATATATTATATAGTTTGATTCATTTTAGAGGGTTAATTTAAAGTTAATGTTTCAATTTTTTTTGATTGATGAAGTTTTGAACCAAAACCCACTTTTTAAAATTTTGGGAACTGGTTAGAACCACATCCCCCATTTTTTATTTTAATTCTAAACTCAGTTATTAACAAATTTATTTTTTTTAAAAAAATGAAGATTTATAAATAAAAAAAAATTTCCCATTCTTTTTAAAAAAAATATGATAAATTAATACAAATAGTTCATAAAAATTATCTGTAGATCAATAAAATTCTGAATACTATTCATTAATTATGTTTATTCTATAGGAGATGATATGATAGATTTTTATTAAATTAAATTTACATTCTATGTATGAGAGTTAATAAATATTTTTTAATAAGATCCAATACCAAACTTGATCAAGTAATTAAATTTTTAGGGTCTGATCTGGTAGCACTTTCAACAATTTCAGTCAGTATAAAATAAGTTATTATATTGATCTATTAAAGCAAATACTACTTAGTTCCAATAGCTAGGGCCAATGTATTAACAGTCTTATTAATGGTTGTGTTTCTTTTTTTTTAAATGTTTGATTGGTAGCAGTGTTAGAGGTCTGCAATGGGCACTCAGGCTGAAAGATTTTAAATAGTAAGAGGATGGATTAAAAAATATTTGTAATGATGAATTGGAAATATTTTTCAGGAGAAATGAACTGAGATATTTATTTATTAAAAATCATTTTTTTTTATTTCATAATGTTGCATATTTTATAGGTTTAAATAAAAAATACATTAAAATAAAATAAAATAAATAAAGAGCTAAAACCAATAATCAAATAATTAACATTAGAGTTAAACAATTTTTAGATAAATGGGAGGCAGGGCGTTTGGGTTAAAACCCACCCATTACAGATTTCTAGCCAAGGCGCACATGTCACATCTTATACATTTGCTGTATAAGTCAAAACAACTAGATTCTATATTCTAATTTAATTATTGAAAGAAGTTAATATTTTCTAATGCAAACCTAAAACCGAACCTTTATATTATTGATTTTCTCAAAATCTTTATATATGAAATTTTTTTGATTTTTTTAAAAAAATATATTTTCTAGAATCTCTAAAAGTGCTAAATTATTTTTCAAGGATTTAATTTCCTACACAATTTTTTTATTTTATAGAAATATTTTGATGTTCATTCTTTTATTGAGAAGGGTTTAGTAAATTTATCAGAGTATTTATTCTTATATTTTGATTATCTCAACTAATTCCATGGATTCATTATAAGTTTAAGAAAATCCTCTAAAAATTGCATTATCAGCAAAAGGCCATCTGGTTATAAATACTTTCTCAATCAATTAACATATCCTATTTATATATTATTGATAATAATAAAAAAAACATCGAATTTCCACAAATTTAGATTCGAAAAATGAAGTTGAAGAATTGGAAGCTTTGCTTAAAGATTTGCATGATAAATTGCAAGATTACCGTGAGTCAAAAGAGAGACCATTTCAAATTCCTTCCTTTATAAATGGGACCTCGTCTAGCAGTCAATTGCCTCAAAACAAAGAGACGCAAGTTTTTTAAAATGAACAATAAAAATCATAAATTTTATATAAGCTGTTAAACTTTGCTATGACTCTTTGCTAATAAACATGATTTTTAAGGACACATTAAGGTTTACATAAAATCTAATAATCAATATTGAATTTTACAAAGAATATTAAGAATAATATAATGTAAATTATACAACATTAATAATCATAAATATTATATTTCTAGGGCAAAATCGACGATGTTACACATTTGGTCAAGAGAAAAACGAAGGAATAAATTTATACTCCCAATTTTATCATTTTCTTTAATCAAAATATTTATTGATCTTTTATATAATCATTATAAATCTAAATATTCTAACAATTTTATATAGTTGTTGTATTTTATATAAATTCTTAATAAAATAATATTAATTTTATGCATTGATTATGGATTGGAGTTGTAAAGGATGAGAAAACCCAAATACCGGAAAAATTTTAATTTTATCGAAATTAAGCAAAATCCATATCTATAAAATCTTCTGAAATATGTTATTTTGTAAAAAAAAGTTATAAGGTAATTCAAAATGAATTTTTTTGTCTGAAACATATATAATGTAATAATATTTAGATAAATATTACTCATCATTTAATTACCAGCGAATTCTATAGTTATAATAAACTTTGACCATGATCAAGTTACTAGTGATTATAAATGGTTCAATTTATAGACCTTAAAAATTATTAAAAAATTTGCCAGCTGGGTATAGATTAATTTGAAAATTTAATCCATAATTTATTAATGTTAATTGCAATCGATAAAAATATAGCTTTCATAAAAACAAGTAAAAAGAGACGATAAGTTATATTTATTACATCCATTCTGGCAATGACATATAATAAAAAATGATACTAAGGTTTAAGCCTTATCTTATCAATTGAGTTACACAAACGTGTAGTAATAAATGAAAAGGGCGGAGTTCATAAGAACTCTACAAGGGCACCAAGATGATAAATAAGGAATGTGAAGAGACACCAAGACATTAAGAGATGGCACAATCATCCAAACGTGAAATGAAAAGATGTAGGTGTCTCAATGTCATTGCATTCTGGGATAAATAATAAGATATTAAATTTATAAAATTATTTTTAAATAAATGGATGGCGTTAAATATTTGAAAGCAATTTATTGCTTATATTTATTATCAAAAGCATTTATTAATAAAATTTATTAAAATATTAACTGTAATATATTATAAAACTGTCAAATAACTGTCAAATACGTCTAAAGTGATATTTAACCCAATATTTTATAACCAATTATATCTAATAGAGGATTATAAACGAAATGTTAACTTACTTTTTATAAATAAATCTCTTATACTGATTTTATTTGGACCTTGAAAATAATTTTAATAAGAAGCATGGTAATTATATATAAATATCAATAATATAGTTGATTAGTGATTTTGAACTTGGCTAATTACAATATTAAATTTGTTAATTTTCAATTAATATTTATTAAATTAGGGTTATATAATAATTTTAATAATAAAAGTCAATAAAGCTTCAACTGTTAATGCTAAATTAATATTTAGTGAGTGATATTAATATTCTATTTTTAACACAGAATTTGATTGCCTGACATAGTGAAAATATAATTTATAAGTATTAATCTAATCTAATAATTAAATAGGATTTATTTAAGAAAAATTTAGACATACTTATTAATTTTAAAATTTTAATATTAAATCTATATATTACTCAATTAAATTATAAAAGAAATCATTCAGTGGGCAATCAAAAAAATTTATTTTTAGTTCAAGGGGATATTAAGGAGCCATTAAAAAAAAATTTTTGCTTCAGCGGGCTATTCAAATTTTTCAGGTGAGCGACGCCACTGATATACAGAATAGAATAAAATATGAGGATACCGATAAAATAGGTCAAAATATTAAGGCGTAACAAATTAAAATTTCTGAATAAACGACTCTAGGGTTAATTGATAAATGTCATATAGTCACCGTGTTAACCATAAAAAGGTGCTAGGGCATACAAATGTGCATGTATTTTTGTCAATCGTGTAATTATAATATCCACTCCAGAAATTCAAATATTAATGATTCAAATAATAAATTGAGAGGAATGTTATAGATAAGCAAATTCTAAAATTTAAATTTTTATAACTATTCCAATAATGTCACAATATTTATTATTTATGATTTATATAAAAATCTATCATTCATATGAGAAACACCCAAAAAAATAATAAATTTAATATGTTCTAACAAGATTATATAGATTTAAATATATATTAATATCATAATATTTATTATTACTTTATTCATAAAATCAATTATTTCTAATGGCTAAAAAAATATTTACATTACTATTGAATGTTTAGCAAAACATATGTTAATTTTAAAATTCGATTTGACCTTTGTGAGAATTTTTTGAATTATATTTATATATTTTTGTATAGCATGTTGATAACAAGTTTTTATGTTAACAATTAAATAAATATTTAATCAGAAAAATTAATGCTGTTAATTATAAGATGTAAAGTAATTAAGAATTAATAGGTTATTTAATTTATTTTATCTACTGTAAATAAACAGTATTTTAATCATTAGTTTTCAAGTTAATGTATAATTTATTTAATATTTTTATAGGCTTAAAATTATTAAAGTATTATTTTTTTATATTGGTTATGTATTGCATTAAAGCAAATTTCTGTTAAAAAAAATTTTACTGGCATATGTTGGATAAAAAAATTACCCTCTTTCAATAGGAATCTTTTAGGGAAGTTATAGATATATTATGTTTTCTATAAGTACATTTTACATTGGAGACTTGCAGGCTGAACCTGGTTGGCTTCAAAATGATTTCATTTTTGTTGAGCTTAAAAATAAGAATATTAACTACACCAATTATAATTTTATAATTAACTACCTTTATATATTCTAAAAATTATTGATATTTATTACAAGCTATTGTTTTACTGCAATTTTTTTTTATATAAAATTACATATATCATACATATAAATTAAATTAAATAGAAACAAATAATAAACACCTTTGAAATTAAAATCATCACCTTGACTTTCCAGCATTCACCCCCCCCCCCCCCTATTTGTAATCTTTGAGTGATTTGATATTTACAACCATCTTATTGAATTTATACCTTTTCTTAGTAGGTTATTAACTACACTCTTTTTTTATCTCTTTATTTATTCTAAAATCACTCTTGAATTTATACACTTTCTTCCTTAAATATACTAAACACATATTCTGTCATTTTCATTTTGTAATCTCGATTTATTCCTTATGTATTTTATTGAATGATAACTTATATTATACTTTTCTTCTTTTTATCATTTTGGTTGCACATTTATATATCTGTTTACTGAAAAAATATTCTGAAACCATCATTTTAACTTATTTTTCTTTAAACAGAATTTTGTAATTGCTGAGATACCAAAATTCTTTATCTACTTATACCTAATTCTTCTATTTTATTTGCCTAACAACTTTTCTAGAATCATGCCCTGATCTTTGACTAGAGTCAAAATTTTTTCTTTCACTTCCTTAGCTATCACCTGGAGGTTTTACATATTTAAATTATCATTTATTCCATACTTCATTTCATATGCGAATCCTGAGAAGTATACTCCCAAGCTCAGTTTCTTTCCTTTGCATTGGTCTGGGTTGAGGCTACAAAAATATTTTTTATAAATAACATAAAAATGATCATTGGAATTTAAATTTGATAATGAAAATAATTAGAATATTTAATCTTCTTTAAAAAATTGTTTAACTTATATCTTAATTAGAATTTTTATAAAATAAATCTTTTTATTCAGCTTGGTCTGGCTCAAACTGGACTGGGAATTTTTGGAAAAAATTTTTGCCCTTTTAAAAAATTTAACCAGCCCATAAAATAATCTTGTACGAATTGTCCAGTTTACTCCAAAATAATTTTTTTCAGATGGTAAAAGAAATTTTTCTTAATACCAAGCTTTAAAGAAATCAAAATTTAAGCTTGGTCCCTAATCTGCAGATCCTTTATTTACATATCCCCTCTTTTCTAACCGAGGCTTCTTATCTCCACTTGATATTGTTATTAATTCTCAATTTCATAAAAAATAGCAGGGAAACCATTTTTTTTTGAATGATGGATTTTGACATTAGGTGTTAATACTTTAAATTTGTGTGCCATTCATAGTTAGCTCATATTAATGGAGAAGTATGCAAAATATGCTGTATTTTCGAGTATTTTTATATACTTCACCTCTAATTTGTGCTTATGAATGCATGTCAGAGGGTGTAATTTTTATTTTATTAAAAATCCTAAAATCACTAATTAGAACACATACTTTGAATTCTTAAAAGAAGAAAGTTGAGATAGGACACAGCCCAAACTCCTTTTTTTTAAAAAAAAATAATATTTCTTGAATACTATTTGGAATAGAAAAATGTATAGTAAAAATGAATATTTTTTTTTATAGAAACCAGAACAAAAATTATAAGAATGTTTAAAAAAATATTAATAAAAAAAAATAATAGTTAAAACCAGGAAAAAGAGAGGGGTAGAAAATGAAAAATAGTTTCCTGGATTGATAAATAAAAAAGAAATATTTTGAGAGTAAAAGAAAGATCGAAAGAATGAATAAATAAAAAGGGCGAAAAAGACAGAAAGAAAGATGATAAAGTAAAATATTATCAAAACAAATACTTTTTATACCATATATAGTGGCCTGCTATATTTTATGATAATTCATTTCGATAAATATTTTTTCATTGATAGCCAAATATTTAATTATATTTTTTAAAAACGTTTTACTAACGAACGTAAATTTTTTAATTTTTGGGGTTAAACTTTACTTTCCTACCCTTTTTACCCCTCATTCATAATTACCGCAAAAATTATAAGAAAGTTTAAAAAAAATAATACGAGGAAAAAGAAGAGAGGGAAAGAAAATGAACAGATACAGTTTCCTGGATTGATAAATTATAAAAGAAAGAAAAATAAGAAAAGAAAGAAAAATAAGAAAAGAAAGAAAAATAAGAAAAGAAAGAAAAATAAGAAAAGAAAGAAAAATAAGAAAAGAAAGAAAAATAAGAAAAGAAAGAAAAATAAGAAAAGAAAGAAAAATAAGAAAAGAAAGAAAAATAAGAAAAGAAAGAAAAATAAGAAAAGAAAGAAAAATAAGAAAAGAAAGAAAAATAAGAAAAGAAAGAAAAATAAGAAAAGAAAGAAAAATAAGAAAAGAAAGAAAAATAAGAAAAGAAAGAAAAATAAGAAAATAAGAAAAGAAAGAAAAATAAGAAAAGAAAGAAAAATAAGAAAAGAAAGAAAAATAAGAAAAGAAAGAATTAATGAAAAGAGCGAGAAAGAAAGATGATAAAGTAAAATATTATTAAAACAAATATATCTTTTTTTACTGGCAAATAAAGTTGCCTGCTATATTTTGATGACAATTCATTTCGATAAATATCATCTCATCGATCGCCAAGAAATATCGATTATTTTTTTTCTAAATTTAATATTTAATTGTATATTTTTTTAAACGTTTAGCTAATAAACGTAAATTTTATATTTTTGGGGATTAAACGGTACTTTCCTACCATTTTACTCCTCATTCATAATTAGCGCTAATTCGCGGCGAATTATTCAAAATATGCTATATTTTACTATTCTCCGCCGTGAATTCGCGTTAACTGTGAATTTAGAGTGGCCCCTCATTCATAGTTATCATGAATTTGGGCGAAGTATACAAAATATTCAATGCAGGAATACGAAACTATAAACAAGAAAAAATTTTGTAGATTGAATTATTAATTTCTCGTTATTTTATCGCAAGATAAAATAAAGCATTTATTTTGGAAATAATATAATTTTTTTTTTAAAAAAAATTAAGCGATTCAAAATGACCATTTTTAAAAAAAATTAAATTTCCAGATTAATATTTATATTAATATATAGTATACCGACAAATTTATTAAGCATTTTATGAAACGGGTTGCGAAATTATTTTTAAAAAATTGAAACGCGCCAATAAATTTAACAGCCCGGCTCGGGCAATTCCAGCATAAAATTTTTTTGCATACATAAAAATAATCAGATTCGAACCGTAGCGCAACTTTTTTTTAGTCCAGGGTTCAAACTCTATTACTCAAGATTCCTTGTATTCCTCATATTTAAAAAATTTATTCGTAAGGGGAGGTCGGCAGGTATCTTATTCTTTTTAAACCCGGATAGGCTCAATTCGCGTTAAACAATTTTTCTCTGACCCTTTAAGTCAATCACAATATCACCTCTTCCCTCATCATAACCCCCCTTCCTATTAAAATCCAAAAAATACCTTCTACCCCCCCCCCCCTTACCCAATCTCTTTTTCAAATTAAGATCTTATGTCATACCACCCCTTCCCCTTGGTAATTCCTGTTAGCTCTCTGTTTTTGGTGCCCTTTACCCTCTTAAGTTGTTATCTGCTTAAAGAGTATTTTAATCTAAATTCTGGTATATGTTTTCTGTATTTTGGGGCCTCAAGACTCTTGTCCTCTCTGGCGGGGATCTATTTATTTAAAATCTTCTAATAGAAATCTATACAAACTTAAATATTTTTTCTAAAATCATTATATCATTCATTTACTTTATTTTTTTTCAATTTTCAGATTGTCTCAATTTTGAATCAAAGTTCACGAACACGGGTGAAATATTCCTATTAACCATAAATCACTAGCACTCACTTATGCAAAATTCTTTTTCTTAATTGATAATCTCATCTTTGAGCACTTCCCCGTAACTTTCTAACGAAAATGGCATCGTTTCCCATCGGTTTGGAATACACACCCCCTGGGATTGTGTATATACATCAGCTCAATTATCAAGAAAATCTCGAAACCAAATTATTTCGATTGCAAAAAGGTTAACTTTTTTAAAATAAAATGTATTTGCTAATATTTTATCCTTTAAATTTTCTGAAATATAATATTCGAATAAACACCTTTATTTTAAAATATAAAAATTTAATCAATGCTCATTGGACTCGGTTCGATCCAATTTTAAATTAAAATTTTGGCCAAAATAATTTAACCTAAGCCTCGAGATTTTATTAATAGATGTTTAATCCTTTCTTCCATCTGAACAAAATCTCCAGACTTTGCTTAAATTTTTTGGCTGAAATATTGGATTAGCCATTTAACAACTACCCAGGGCATCAAAGACTTACTATATTTAAAGAGATGTTAATTTAAATTGATTTACACCGCTACATTTCCCCTACCCTAAAAACGATAAAATATTTTTTTTATAGATATTTTTCTCTTCTTTATTGATTTATTATTTCGATATCTAAAATAATTACAACAGGCGCCATGATCCATTTCAAGTTGGGTCCCTCACTTTTCGGCAAGGTCGTCCACTTGTATTGCAACCATCCCTCTCAAAAGCCGGAAACCGGCGAATCAAGCCAAAACCCGCTAGAAGATAGCTTCTCTCGAAATTTCGAGCCATTTGAACGTGGAACCTTCTATGAACTACCATGGGTTAAAAGGTCATTTTTTTAAAGAATATATTTTGGAATCATGTGATGTTTTATATTTCTACTACTTATTACAATTTTTTTTTAAAAAATCAAAATTCAAAAAATCAATATTTTCAGCCAAACAAATATAAACCTAGGCCTAAAGTATTTTCTCAAAAGATGGAAGAAAGGTTTAATCCTTTTTTAGCGACATCTTGATCCTGCATTTCCCACTCGCAGTTGGCGCCAAATTACAGCGGAGAATACAAAATAAGCTGTATTATGTATAATTCCCCGTGAATTCGCGCTAAATGTGAATGCAGGGTGAGGCTTAGATAATATTTGTTTAGTCTAAAAAAAATCGGCTAAATCAAGGTTTTAAATAAAGTACAGTTTACTTCTAATAGTAAATCATAAAACTTATTTATAAAAAGCACATCTTGTATTGAAATTAATTTTCTTTTTCTTTATCGTCATTAATAACAAATCTGGACTTTTTAATTAGATCTATTTATCATTGCGATGAAACGGACACTTACGCGGAGCTAGAGCTAGGCCGGAGCGGATCCTTTAGATACTATTTCGTTATTTGCGATGCCGAACACGTGAAACTTCACCCGCTTTTAGAGAATAGGACTATCAACGAGTAAGTTATTTTTGCCATCATTTCTTTCTATAATAATAGTATGGCCGGAAAAACAAAAAAACTATGCGATATGCCCCTAATTGAACCGCCATTAAATGATTACTCTTTTTATTGATGAGGATAAATGAAATTATAATTAGTCCATTTCCGTTCGGCGTTTGCCATATTAAATTTTTTGGTCTCTCGAGAAATCTATCCATAATAGGTTTTAATATTAGTAAATAAATTCCTTGTGATATATAATTTTTATTTAATAAAACGGATAAATTTTGTACATATATTATTCTTGTCAAATGCCATAGTTCTGTTATCATCAATTAAGAAGAGCTCGGAGTTAGTTTATCAACAAATTTTTTTTTGTTTTCGAGAGCAATTTTACTATTGAAAATCGCATAAATTTAAACTACGAGAGGGGGAAATATTTTTTAATATCCTTTTAGCCAAAAACTAAAAATCAAAACGCATAATAATATATTATAATGTAATTAAATATACAAATTACTGAGCTCCATGAAGACCGATTTGAAAAATAAATAGGAAGGAATGAAAGAATAGAAAAGAAAAGAAAAGAAAGAAAGGAAGAATTATACAAAACTATGACTTTATATATTGTGATATCCTTTAGCGTTTTAAAAAATAATTTTAAAAAAAAACACAAAAGAGCCCAACTAAATTTACATAGGCTTAAATGGATGGAGTATCGCCAGAGTCAAACCTTAGAACCAAATACGATTCCCGCGCCTGTCGCTTCCGGTTTTGATTTTTTCTTTAAATTAAAATGTATACACATAAAACAATTAAATGCTTTTATTTTACTTTAGATCCTCTAGAATAATCGGATGCCCATATTAACATTTTTTAAAATTTTGACTTATCTTGGAATTTTTAAAATAAAATAAAATAAAACTATGATATCTTTACTTATAATAGCTAAAAAAAATTCGTAAAATATAACGATATTTTTATTTCTTCTCATTGGACGAGGGAATCTCTATGGAGTATTCCTATATGTCAATTACTCGTAACATAAATATTTATATATACATGATTTAGAAGCGGATAAAGGTTCTATTCGCGTTCGTTACTCCCTCACGGAACAATTACAGGATGAAAACTTTCCTTTGTCCTACCGTTTTCCCATGAGCGACGATACTACAGGGATCAGTTCTGAAGATTTTGAAGGGGACGGCTGTGGGTTTTCTTATTTAATTACATATTATGGTCCTATTAGACAGATATTAACTTTGGTATATAAATTGTCTGACGTTAGGCCTTTATCTTTTTACTTGGTGGTTTTTTTTCTAAAAAAAATACTTATTCTGGTTGTGATTTAGCTAGACTGCTGATTAATTGAGGACCCACCAAACACTTGGTCTAAGAATATACTAGAGCGTGCTTGCATCTGAGAAATTAAATATTTAATTAAATGTGTCATATATTTATCTATTTATTTAAAATATGGGAATTAGTCAGACCTGGTCATAACTTGATTACATATTCTTTATCGTTACATTATCATAATTAACTTTTCTGTTTAAAATTAGATATGCAATAAAAAGGTTAAAAATCCTGTCAATAATATTAATTATTTTTATAATATTTTTAAATTATTTGAATAATTCAAATCGAATTCGGATAGTAAATTATTCTACGAATCGAGTACGAATAATGAAATTTGTATTCGTTTTTTGAATAGACCCTAGTGCAATCATTCGAAAAATCGAAATATAATGTGAATCATTGAAATAAATTCAAAGTAGAAATTTATAACTCTTGCTTCATATCTAATCAAATCGATATTATTCCTCAATTTTTTTTCAGCGACATGAATAAATTGCGCAAGCGCACTTCATCTAATTTTTATACTGATAAGTGAAACTATTAAAATTTCCTATTATGTCACCTCACCACAAGAGATAATTTTTTATTTCATTTGTCGCAGTTATTTTCTGGTTGATCCGACTCTGACAGTTGGTCCAGACTCAGATCCGCTTGAACTAACCCTCGATGCCTTACGCTGCCAAACCATACTCGCTAAATCTCTGGGCCGTTTCGATCAATGGCCTAATCGTATCCTCACTTCTGTCCGGTCTGGTTATAACGCTATCCACCTAACCCCGGTCCAAGAACTAGGAATATCCAACAGTGCCTACTGCGTGAAGGATCATTTTAAACTTAACCCCATTTTTTACGTGCCTCTCAATTCCTCGATTTCCAAGCTGAGCTTGAATGACTCTTCGCTCATTAAAGACGATAGCCAGATCGATTTGGTCAATGGTAGCCCCGGTAAAAATGGAGGTGAGGTAAATATCCAAAATAAGGATACTTACGAAGACGAAGGTAAAGAAGACGGGGAAAAGGGCCCTAAACACAGAAGTATGACACATAATATTATTCCATAATAAACTTACATTTAGTATATAGTAGTATACTTATAATGAACTTGAATTGAATCTCTTCTTTTTCTTCTCTCCCAAACTAGATTTAAAATATTTAATTTTTTCACAAAAATTTAGTTCACATTATCCATTATCTATCATTCTCTTAGTGTCCCGTTCCATGAGTCTGAGCAAATCTAACAGGAGACCCGCCACTTTAGAAGAATTGGAGAATTTGATAGCCAAAATGCAAGTCGACTGGGGCCTACTTTCATTTCAGGATGTCGTGTGGAACCACGCGGCGACTAATTGCCAATGGATATGGGATCATCCCGAATGCGGGTAAAAAAAAATTACCGCAAACTTGATTAGTTTGTTGTTTTTAAATTTATAAAAATTGACTCATTCGCATGCCAAAGGTACAAGCAAATTGCCCTTACTGAATATTTATTTTAGACGATATACTATGTTAGCGTCAATGTTTCAATTCATTTTTAGGGGCGTTTTTTTAAATTTTTTAGACCCGATTTTACCGGAAAATATTCTAGCTGGTTTAGATTATTTGCCCTGACAATTTTGCAGTTAACGTTTCAGTTATTTAAATTTATATAAAAATACTATGGAAAAACTAATATAAATTTTATTAAGCTCCAAAATTCATTGCAAAATTCTAAACATGCTGGTATATTTACATTAAAAATATTTGTTTTAATTAAAAAACGCGCTCAAGGAATATTTAAAGTTGAAAACACATTGACGCTAACTTATACAATACTTCCATTTAACAAAAATAATAGATCGAGCCTGGAGATTTTGTTCATAGATGGCAAAAAAGTTGGGATATTTATTAACAAAATCTCGAGGCTTGCGTAATATTATTTTGGCTATTCAACAACAACTAAAAATAAAATAACTCTAGTCACAATCCATATAGTATATGTTTTGAAATTAAGCAGACGAGATAAGATAAGCACTTTTATAAACGAATCGTAAAATTGGGAAATTTAGCATTCAACATATAGCGCGAAACCTTGCCAATATCTAATATAAACTCTCCCCACTAGCGTACATCAGGTCTTCTTAAATTTAAAATGCTTTTATTTAATCATTTATATAAATTTTTTATGGTGATGCTACTGCCTATTTACCGAAACCGGTTGTAACGTAGGATTCTTTAAAATGTAATACAAACATGGATAATATTGGAGGTTTCGCGCATTTAAATAATTGATAAATTTTCAACTGTTAAAGGGTTGAAATGAGCGAGTGTTTAATCTGTTTCCCACTGGTTCTCAAATTAGCGACTACCGCTCAGTTGCCAGGATTGAAAAAAATATTTCTAATTCTCTCAAGATTTTTTTTAATTCCATTTTTTTGCCCTTAACTTGTTGAAGTTACAACCTAATAAATAGTCCGTATATGAAACCCGCATATTTAATTGATCGAGCACTGTGGCATTTCACGCTGCAAGTGAGCAAAGGGGAGTGGTCCCATCGAAACGTCCCGCGCAACATCCGGGACGAGTTCAATCTCAATGTAAGTATCCCCGCTTATTTTATTCGATTCATTCTTTATTTTCTTCTTTCCTTTATTTCTTCCTTTTCTTTACACACTAAAACTTTTATTCAAGCGGGTTCTTAAAAGTTGTTCAAAAATTGCTATAGTAGTTTGCACAAAAACCACGATGGACAATTTTGAATTTTTATTTATCATCAAATAATCAAATATTTTAGATGCCCTAAATATATTTTTGCCAGGAAATAGGAAAGAAAAAGAAAGAAAGAAAAAAATATCAGAATTCTGATTATAAACTTTGAAAATAAGAAAATGATAATAAATTTTATAAAAACAAAATCCTTACAGGCTATACGCGCCATCTTATTGGACACCGCATTTCCCAAATTGAAAATTTATGAATTTTACATAACGGATGTAGAAAAGGTTTTGGGGGTATTCAGAGCTAAAATTATAAGTTATTTCTTTTTATTTATTTATTCTTTTTATTTATTTATTCTTTTTATTCTCCATACAATAAAAAAAAATTATTCTGTTCTAAAATAAGAATAAATAATAAATAAATAATCTACAGATATGAATTTCTTAGAAACAAATTTGGTAAAGATAAAATAAGTATTTTAAAAATTCATTAATTTTATATTTCTTCTATTTAACCCTATAGTTTTGGACAATGATTATACGAGTATATAAAATATTTTCTTTTTTTAAATTTTTTATTAAAAATATATATAGTATTATCATATTTACTGATTTAAGTTGAATATTAGTTTTAAACCAAATTTACGAGAACTTATTCCTTGCACGAAAATGTATAGACATTATTCAGGAACATCGTTAGGGAGGGTCAAAAGGAGTACACGTCTAAATTTAATTTGAGCAACGAAAAATATTTCCTATTTGGAAAAATTATTAGATCCAACTTTACAAATTTTTTTAATTCAGATAAAAACAAATTAAATCCTCATTTTATATATTAATTTCTTCCTCCTCCCTTTCCGCATGTAAGAAATGGGTGGACCGAACCCTAAGGAAGTGCACCAGCATATGACGGCTCAGGATTTTGCCCGTAAAGCTCGTAGTATATCCCATTCCTCTCAGATCACTTCTAATACCGAATTGGAACTGCTTCCACACCCCCATTTCGCTCGAATGGGAAGTAGCGTGGATATGAAACTAGCCTTAGCCATTTTCAATAAACCCCACCAAACTGCCAACGAGGCTGATCGGATCGAAATATGCTGCAACGAATTTAGGAACAAGTTGCATAACTTGAATCACGCCGTAAGATCACATTGAAAAAATAACATTATAAATATGTATAGATTATAAATAACATAAATATATACTGAAAAATCTCTGATGGTGCGTTTGCTTTAAATAGCCCTAGACATTTAAAAAATAGAATTTGTTATACACCTAAACAGATTTTTATTTATTTTCTTAATTGAAAGAAAGAAAGAAAGAAAATTACCTGACATTGCGCTACCTATTTAAAATTAGTTTCTTTAATACAAAACTTTTAATTTTATTTTATACCCTTTTGTAACAACATCTCAATTTATTTTTTTAAATTAAAATTAAAATTTTACGTCTCACAAAATAGAAATGGGAAGAAATGGAATCTCATCTTAGAAGCGCTGCTGAAGCTGTAGTGCGAAATTGCAGATACTATTATTTGGATGGTAACGGTCCAAAATGGCCTGAAGTGTCCATGGAAACCCCTATAGTTTACAAGTACAGAAAAATCAATAAAAAGTCAAGAATAAATTAGGTGTATAGTATATATGGCTTAATATTTTTATATTATTTAAGGAATCATTGCAAGAAAATTTAATTATAGTGCGCAACATTTTAATCGAAAAGTTATTCGACCTAACCTTTAGAGGGTCGAATATTTTGATATCTGTGTATAGTTGTCGGCAAAAAAAAATAAAAAAGTATTGGGGTATCTCCTATAACAATTCGTTTAAATTTTATCTTTACAGATATTTCACTCATCCATACGACGATATGCCCATTGAGAGGGAGGAAGTGGAAATAATAAACGACTCCGAGAAGGGGCTATACATAATGGCTCACAATGGCTGGGTCATGAACGACGATCCTCTCAAAAATTTTGCCGGGCCGGATTCAAACGTTTTTCTGAGGAGAGAGGTTTTTTTAGTAATTTTAATTATTATTTTTTTGATTTGTTACATTTATATATCGTATTTTTTAAAATTTTGAAAAATTCTAGATATTTGCTATATTTATGAAGGTTTTCGAATTTTTTCTCTTTTTCAAGTTTCGTACTAGTATAAATAAATACATGATAAAAGAAAAGAAAGGAAGGAAAGGATAGGAAGGAATTATAAACTTAGACATTTTTATTTTATCGAAAAAACATCTATGTAAAAAAGTTACTTGTATGGGGGGACAATGTCAAACTACGTTATGGCGAAACTTACCGAGACAACCCTTTCTTATGGGACACCATGAAAAAATACACCGAATCAGTCGCTAAAATATTCCACGGGATCAGGATTGATAATTGTCACAGCACACCTTTGGGCGTCGGCGAGGTTTTTCAATCCGATACAAAAATATTTTGATATTGTCACTTATTTTGCATAATATAAAATACTTTTTTTAAAACTCTATTTCTTATTTTTTAGCTCTTTTTTTTATTTATTTCTTTTTATTTTTCATAAAGAAAGAAAGAAGTAATATATCATTTAATATATCGTTCTTTTTCCTTATATAACAACAACTTAATCAATCAATAAATTGCATCGTTACAATTTGTACTAACCTTATAAAATACACTGATTTTTAAAAAAATGCTTATATAAATAGTAATTTTTTATTTATATATTGATAATATTTTTTTAAAAATAGTTTTTGATCGATGCCGCTCGCAATGTCAGACCCAACTTATACGTTATGGCCGAACTTTTCACGCAATCTGAGGCCACCGATAATATATTCGTGAATAGGTTCGGGATAACTTCGCTCATCAGAGGTTTTATCTTTATTTTGGCATTAAGGCGAATAAATGTTCTGTCGTGAACGCCGTCATCCATCCCCCTCCCCAACCCATTATCTTTTCTATATTATTTTGTGAACATTGCAACAATTTAGTAGGAAAGAATAAGATAAAGGGAGGGGGGGGGGAGTGTTTTTTATATTGCAATATTCAATAATCATTATATACCTTGATCAGGGGAAATAAAAATCAATTTGATAAAAATCGCCAATTAAATCAGTAATTTTTTTATACAAAATCATTGATTTAAATCAATTTTAAAAGAGAATCGAATCCATTAAATCTATTATGTAATAAGAGAATATTCTATAATATCTATTTCGTTCTTTGTTTCCTCACTAATTTTTATTAAAAATTTAGATATGTATGGTTCTTATTCTTAGTATTATTTGATTTTAAAACACAATTATGTTGGGAGGTGGAACTAGTTATTAGTAGAGTTAACACGTATTTTTTAATATTATAATTTTAAGAACTTTTAAAATAATTATAATATAAGTAAAATCAAAACGTAAAGGAGATTCAGCTATTATTTAACCATTTATTTATTTTAAAATCATAACGCTTATTTATTTTTTAGTTTGTTGTACACAAATTTTGATGATTTTTATAGGCAAGGCTGGGAATTCGAAATAATTAAAGAAATTTGTGTATTTTTTGCTTCGTAAGAAATTATTACAGGTCGTGCAACTTGTACAAAATTATTTTATGGGCCAAGCAAAAATAATTGCCTGCCCGGTCGGATCATTTCGACTGGTCGGGCGACTTTGATCTCTAATTAAAAGAATTCCAATTGATAATATCATTTTTATGACCCGCAATAAATAGAATTTTTATAAAAAACTACGCTTAAAATAAATTTATTTATGAAATTTATCAAGTAGAACTCAAAATTTTAGCCTAATTATACTATAATGTAATATACGAGAAATTGTTTAATTTTTATAAATTAATATTAAAATTTTGGCAAATCTTTGACACGAAATATTTTTATAAATTCATGAAAGCAATAAATCAAACATTGAAATTCTAAATGTATTATTTAAATGGTATAGAATTTTTAATAATTATCACAGGTCATAAGATAATATCCAACTTCAATATTTTATTTGTAAAATTCCACCTTTAACAAATCTGATTTAACTATATATTTTTACACCGTAATCTTTATAGCACGATACAATATTTTTATGAATAACAATTTTTTTTAAAAAAACATTATAGAGGCCATGGCGGCCTGGAACGCTAAAGAGTTGGGTAGATTAGAACATAGATACGGGGGTACGCCCGTAGGTTCTTTCTTGCCCCCTCCTACCCGCCGACTTACACCGCAATTGGCTCACGCTATCTTGATGGACCAGACTCATGATAACCCTTCCCTCATAGAAGTACTATATTTCTTCGCCTATTTAATTACCACTTTTTTCCCCGAACTTTTATATGCTTTCATTATTGATGTCCAGGTTCTTTCTTTCTTTCTGATTTGTGATCAAATTATAATAAAGACGAATGAGAAGATCTAAAAAAGAAAGATTAATTAATAAAGCGCTCTAATCATTACTTTATAAAGCTCATTCGAAATGCACACAGGATTTATATATACAGAGTTTGAAGGATTAAGAACTTTAAATCAAGATAGCTCAAAATTAACTTTATTTTATAAAGAAAAACATAAATATGATATTTTTTATCTTGAATTTACTTTTCACGATCTTTATCTTTAAGCTTTATTGTTTTTTATGGCCTATTAAGAAATTAAAATAAATAAACAAAAAAAAAGTGTTGTATTCAATTTCATGATAATTAGTTCAAACGAAAATTTTTAAGAATAATTGATTTTAAAAAAATTTCTAAAATGCATATTATATATATATATATAATATAAAACTTTATCTAATATTTAAGTTAAAGATTCCAATAATTTTTTAAATAATAAAAACGCACTTTACCTCGCAAAGAGTATCATTGTAAAATAAAGTTATAATGATATTTTGCGGGTTTGAAATTAAATGATACTTTAGGAGTGAAAATGCGAAATATTATTCGTTATTATATTTTTATTAGGCGCGTTCGGTTTACAATGTCTTACCCCTTAGTGCGGTCGTGTGTATGGCGTGTTCTGCTATCGGCAGTACGCGTGGTCTGGACGAAATGTTTCCCAATAAAGTACGGTTTTATTTTTTATAAACTCTACCTTTACTTAATTATTTTTTTAAATGTCGATTTTCGTCATCTGGTCCTTGTGGCGTGCACTTTCCCCAATTTTCTATCTCTCAATTCTAATCTTCCTTCTTTAATGTTTACTAGCGGTTTGCCAGGTTTATCCGAGTAAGCTAATTTCCGCTCTGATTCCTTTTCCACTTTTTACGATCCTTGACGTCGCTATTTCCCCAATTATCATTTTCATCCAAGGCTTCGTTGATCTCTGTCGAGGCCTTGATTCCTTTACTTATGGTTTATTTTTTTCTCATCACCACTCCGATCGCATGCCAATCCTTTCCCGCAATTCGTTGCTTATTTTATTTTTCTCCCTCTCATGATACCTCACACATCATCTGATCTAAATCTTATTATTTAATCTACTTTTATATCCGGTTCTAGCGATTCCCATTTTTAATTTTAAGTAGTCTTTCTAATCTTAGACTCCGGAGGTTGAAAAATTGCATTTTTTTTTACTGTTCAATATAACATAATAAATGAGTTGGTTTAAGCCAATTAAAACTATCTTTTTATGAATATTTCTTTCCGGAATGTTCATAACAGTATCTGATATGCTCCTGATAGGAGAATATTCCATTTTGTTTTCGCTCTCTCCTTCCGGGTCCCTGCTTAAGAATGGATTCAAAGTGGGATTCTATCAACACGATTTAACAGCTGATCGTATTTTTAATTATGTTTGTTAGATCAATTTTTTAATTCTGTTTGTTAGATCAATTTTTATTTATTAGTATTAATTTTATAATTTTATTGATAATAATCTAAGAATTATTGATTTTAAAAATAAATTGATCTCATTAAAAGATTCGCTCAGCTGTTCAATATTGTCGGGTGGGATCCCACCATGAATCCAGCCAGCCTAAAATCGTCTAATTTCGCGAATAAATAAATAAAAAATGTAAATATTCTTATGAAATTAGTTTATAATTTCTTTTAAGTAATAAACAATTATTTGAATTATACACATTGAAAATTTACAAAAAGTAAGGTACATTACACAATTTAATTGAGTTTTTAAGTTTTAATTTTGTTTTCTTTCATATTTGAAAGATTGACATCGTAAACGATAACAGAAAATATAGGTTTTGGATGGACAAGGAGGACAAAATACCTCACAAGGCCATTAACATGTCAACTGGCATCATCGCAGCCAAACGAATCCTCAATCTTCTCCACCAAGAGATGGCTCTAGAACACTACGATCAAGTTTTCTTCATAATTATTTTTTTATTATAACTTTTGGTTAATGAAAGTCTTAACTTATAATAAAAAACAAATGTTCGTAAAATAAGTTATAAATGGTTTTAATTATGGTGAAACATTTTTTTTATCATGATAAGAATTCTTGTTGTAAAACTGATTAATTTGATGTTCCTTGAGGGTTAATAATAATCCTTTTTTTAGTTATATAGTTGTTAGTCCCACACAATTTTTTTTAGAAGTTTTTTACTGCCGTTAATATATTTTATATTTAAGAGTTCCGCATTGACTTAATTCCCATATTGGATCCGGGTATGTCTCCCAATTTTTTCTCTAACCTGATTGGACCTGTTATTTCTCCCAATTAATCGGGTTTAGCCTTAATTTATAAATTTTTTATTTTTACCTTGAATTCGGTGGTACAAGTGGACTTGAGAAGAAAAACAATTATAAATTATTCACAAAAAAAAATATATACGATAAAGTATAATTTGTTAAACAAATCTCTTATTTCTAGATATTCGTGGATCAAATCGACGAAGACGTGATAGCAATAACTCGTCACTCACCTCTGACTCACAAATCCATAATCTTAGTGGCATATACCGTTTTTAAGAACATCGGCAATACAGTCGAAAGGCACGACAAATACATCAAGCCTCTAACCGTTCCTGGTATTTTAAAATTTTTGACAGATGCCTGTTCAAACCAAAAAATTTCTAATTCTTTTTTTTTTATAGAATTAGAATAATAAAGATTTGGAACTTATATGGCATTCAAAAATATATTTGTTGAATAAAATATGGAAGGGCTGCTCATAAAAAATTATAAATCTGAAATTGATTTTGAAACATCAAAAAAAAAACTCTTTTTCTTTTTTTTACTGAGTCCACATAGCCAAAATTTTTTGTCTTATTCCTAGATATTTATTTCTTATATTATTTAATCTAATATATAATCAAAAAGGAATATTAGAAATACAAGTTTATTAATTTATAATATATGTTTATTACTACCAAAAGACCCAGCAATGTATTTTTTTGACGAAACTATTATTAAAATTAAAAATATTAATTAATTATATATATAACGAATGAGTGATTTATGGTTTCAAAGATTCCTTGTTTCCATTTTACTACAAATCGACTTTATTATATCTTCTTTTCTGTTTAATGCCGATTTCCAGGTTTACCCAGGTTGGCTAGTTTTCTCTCTGATTTTCTCTTCCATTTTTTGACGGTCCTGAGCATCAATACTTGTAATACTCATTTTTCTCATATCCGCCGCTATAACATTTATCCACGTCATGTGCTCTAGGTCTTGATCCTCACTTCCATCAAGGTGGATCTCTTTACCCAGTCATTTCTTGTCTTATGTTCCACATGCTCAAATCATCTTAGTCTTTTTCTTCGCATTACCACTCCAATCATTTCTATACCCAATCTTGCTCGCAATTCCTTGCTAGTTTTTCTTTCCCTCAGAGATACCCCATACATCCATCTAATCATCTTCATCTCTGTTCTTTCTAATTTGGCTTCGTGGGTCGCTTTCATTGCCCATGTTTCACCGCCATAAACTAAACCCTCACACAGCTTACATAACTTTCCCCTTTAACTTCAGAGAGATTTTTTTATTTGTTGGAATAGACGGCATCCTCTTATTATATATTACCAATATATGTTATCGTACTTACCAGCATATTATTTTTTCACATTGATCACGTGCCGGACCTGTCAGTTCGGTATTTTAAATGAATTGGATTTCTTACGATCATTCAACATCTTATTTCTGGGTATCTCAAGTATTTCCAAACAATCTAAAATTCAGGCGGATAATTGTTGGAAGCCGAAAATGCCAAAAAAAAAGTACGATACCCCCGGTTTTCTAATATTTATATTTTTTAAAAATTTTACTTGCAGATGCAAATTCAAAAAGAAGTTTACGTAACTCCACTATTATTTTTTTTGTGTATTTTCTTTAAAAAAAAATCTTCCATAAAGTCATCATAAGTTGCCGATTTATAAAAGTTTTAGAATTATCTGTATCTCATTATCGATCTAGTCACATATCTTTTTATATTCTATATATATCTAGGCATAGTAGAAGAAATAATCTTAGAAGCTAATTTAGAGTACTGCCCCCAAGGCAAAGGCGAATTTAAACAAGACTCCAAGTACATGAACGGACTCGCGGATTACAAACTTAACTTGCGAACCAACATACAATTTTATGGTTAGATAATATTATATACGTAAAAATGGTTTCTCTCTGAATCAAAAAAAAATGATGACCGAGTACGAATAATTAAAATTTAAACAAATTGCATCATAATAAAAACGTTCCTTTAAGGTTTAAACGACTTCTTATGAAAAGACTATTTTTTTAAGCTTTTAATTTTAGGTTCCCATTCTAAATCTCTATCGTTAAAATTTAGAATCTCGCTTATATCTCCTAGAAAATAAGTAAGTTTTAAATTGATATTAATATATACTAGGGAGGTAAACGCTTGTATTTAAGTTGAGTTTTAAAAAAAATTACTATAAATAGAGAAAATATTATCGTAGTTCCCGATTTGATTACCAATTTGGGAACAAATTCGGAATATAGATGATATTTCCTCCATTTTTATCGATTTTTTAAAATAACTCTATTTAAATACATACAAGTGTTTACTTCCCTATATCTATTAATATTAATTTCTAATCTTCAAAAATTTTCTAAGAGAAAATAAGCGAGATTCTCAATTTTTAGTTATTTTTGTTTTATCAATTTAGAACCTATCCCAATTTTTATACATCTTATCAGTTTATGTCCGCCATAATCTTGATATTTGTATAGTTTTAATTCCCCATTACATTTTAACTCTCGATTGACGTGTGTAAAGAAAGAAAGAAAATCGCTCAGAAATCGTAGATTTTTTCATATCATATAATATTTTATAAACGTATCGATTTCATCATCATAATGGATAGGCAGTGAAATGATAGAATACCAAGAAACGGGTCAGTCCACGGCCGCTATTCAAGATATTGATTTTGTCAAATTTTATCCCGGTAGCGTTATCGCTTTTAGGTAATTCATTTCTATATAATATGAATGCTTATCCGTTTTTATTGGAGAGCGATTTAAGATAATACTTTTATTTACATAAAAGGAGGAGGGGGGAGAAGGGAGGCAGAATACAATTTTGACCCTAAATTAATATATCAACCTAAATGGAGTTAAAACTTTATTAAAAATCAGGTGACAACATATATATTGAAAACTCAGCTCGATTGTTCACTTCTTTTTTTGAAAATATTATATTAAGTTTATCTGAACACAGAAAATATATTTATATATTTTTTATATAAATTGAATTTTCATTAAACTTAATGCCCAAATTATAATTAAACTTTATAATTTGTCCTTCCCACTCAAGTAAACCCAAAAGTATGTCAAAATACTTAGAATTTAATTTGTACACTGCATATATTAGAATCGCTTATTTTTTGAAATTTGATGGAACTACCTCGATTAAAATTATTTTTTGATAAGTGGGCTGGATTATCAATTATGATTAAAATGGACGTAAATAAATCTAACCAAAAGTTATCTCATAAGCCAACCCTACATCAAGTCTTTGCCATAGTATGTGTTTACCTTGAAACATCAAAGCATTCACCTTCTATGACCATCATACTAAGTTTCATCTTTTTGTGGTCATTAAATTAAAATAAAATACTTAAAGGGATCATCATATCTGGATTCCTTGTTAGTTAAACTTGGTAATTCAATGATATTGAAAATATTTTAGTTGGACGATCAAGGGGCTAACCTAATCAGAATGATCAGGAATCATTGTATATATGATGAATATTATTATTATAATGAGAAGCTTGTGTTTCCTCCACTCCCTAACTTAACCTCTTATCTTTATATTTTCAATTTTTGAGAGGTTGGATAAGCTAAATATTTAAACAATTATAATATTTTCTAGAGCCCCGATGTTATATATTTAATCTATCAGTGTCTACATGAACCGGGGGAGAGTTTGAATCACGGGGACAGAAATCTCTACAACTCGGACAAAAGTTTCCCGAACAAAAAGATATCGGTTAAAAATAAATACCCCAATTTAAAAAACACAATTTTTTTAAATACTTATAAAGGTTGTCATTTTTAAAATTGTGTCCGGTGTCTTTTTGTCAGTGAATATTTTTTGTCCATGGAATTTCTGTCCTTGATTCGAGTCATTCGTCGCCATATAATTTTCAAATTATAGGATCTTAAGTGGCAAGCGGGAAAAATATTTGGGGGTGAGGGTAGGGGGGTTAATCTAGGTGTATTGCCTTTCCCAAAGATTTCTCAGGGGCTATACATTTTTTTCTAAATTAAACTTCCCACTCATTCATCGTATTATAAATAATTCCATATTAGGTTAGTACAACTCACAAATATTTTATCTGTTTCATTGCTCTCTCTTTATTTTATTTTTGCGATATCACCAAATTCATATTAATTTGATCATTTTTTCCCCCTATGTAAAAATGCCTTTTTGAGAAAACAAAATTATCTTTTTTTTTCAATATATTTCATCTTTATTTATGCAATTTTTAAAAAGTTAGCATTAAGACCAACGTTTGCTAAATACAAAAAAAGATTTAATAAAAACACCTATATTGTAATTAAGAGTAAACCTGAATGCTACCTCTCGTAGCGCAATTCTCCAAGTACGTAAATGTTTGAGCGAATTTGGTTACAACCCCCGTTCCTACAGCGGCACTGAAATCGTTTTTGATCCCAAGAGTTCTTCCTTCTCCAAAATGATTTTAGGTTAGCTGCTAAAAAAAAAGTTAAAGGTTTATGGCAGTCAGTTGGTTACACATTAATTCGGTGCGACAACTAGCAGATCTAATTAAGTTGCGATTTAATTTAAAATTTTAATTTTATTAATATTAATATTAAAATGCAAATAGATTATCAAACATGAATAATATGATTTTATATGGCATTTATAAAATTAAAGTTGATGATTGCAGAAAGAACGTTAGTCCTATCCTATATGTTAACATATTTCTATTCTATTTTTATTAAAATAATTTTTCATTTTACTTTTTTTTTATTATAAAAATTCTTAAAATCTACCCATATTAGCTGGATATTGTATAATTACTATTTATATGGTCGAGTTTGTTTAATTTTTATTCTGGGTGAGGTGAAGAAAGTTGTTTCACGAGAAAGGAGATATAATCTCCAAAGCGCAAACAATGGATATAAAATTTATAGCAATTTGGAAGAATTCTAAAAAAAACCTCCAACTAATATTTTATGCCCCAAAAAATATTTGTTTTTCGGTTTCGTTATTTTTATGAATAAATATTCGTTTGCCGCCTTTATCATAGAATATATATTTTTTATTATTAATGCTGTAACCTAAATATAATATGTAACTTTAACGAAAAAGAGAAATAAGCTAATGTAAAAGTAAAATAGTGGCTTAAATTATTTTTTCGAAATTACGAAAGTTTATCAATTTTTTAAAGTTTAGGAAATTAATAAAATTTAATATATTAGCTTAAAGTTTATAAAGTTTCAGATTATATTAAGAAATGGGTAGTCATATTAATCAAAATGGGAAGTATAAAAATTATTTGGCTGGAATTATAAATTTACAAATTTACAAAACTTTAAAAAAAATTTAATGGAAGATTTTCGACACGTTTCATAATTTTGTTAAAAAAGTTTTGAAATTTGGAGGTTTTTTAATATATTTAGGTCATACCCTGAATAAATAAAAAACATTTTAAAAAAATAGAAATTTTCCCCGCTAAACAAACCCTGTTCATATATACTTAATAGTAATTTTACAATATTTAGAACATGGTAAGTTGATTCCAAGAAGTAATAAGGAGGTATTATTTTGATACCGATTAAAATATATTAAATTTATTTATAAAATAACCCAAAATAATATATTAATGTGCAATAATTAATAGGACCAACCACCAACACTCCCTTTAATTTTTTTAAATACCATTTAAAATCATACAATTCATGTTCATTAATCTATTTATTTTGTATAAATAAAATTATGATTTTTAAAATAAATCGAAACTTAATTGCGGGCTGAATTGACGTGATACCTATGGCAGCCATAATTTAAAAATGTTTGCTCCAGATTTTTTTAGAAAAAATGATTAAGTTTATCGAAAATTGCAGGAAAGATGGAAGGAAGGGAAAGGACGAAAGGAAAGAAAAAGAATAATTTTAAAACTCCAACATTTGTGGGCTTGTTTATTTTATTTATTTATTTTGCTTTATTTTCAATTAATTACTCTTAGGTTCATGTGGTCCCGAATTTTTGTCACAGTTGGAAGAAATACAAAATAATTCTAATGGTAAAAAAAACGTCGACCTTACAAATTCCAACAAGACTGGCCAAAATAATGGGTATAATAGATTAAAAAAAATTTTTATAGAATCTGCTCACACCTAATTTTTTTTAAAAATTTGTTAGAGACCTGCAGAACAAATTATGGCCCAGCCCGGGTTTTATATTTTCAAACTCAGCCCGTATTTTTTTAAATATGTTATATTTATTTTTAATTTCTATAGCTAATAATGAAGATTTAAAATGAAAAATTTAAGCCCTGTCCGGATATATTTAAAAAATTAAAATATGGTCCGGCATAAATATCCGAGATGGGTCTAGAGTTGGGCATGTCGGTCTCTGAAATTTATTATAACAATAAAAATTGTTTACATCTGTAGCCACATCCATTTGACTGGTCAAATAAGGTGTTTAAAGTCAATATTAACTTTATTTTTAATATAATAATAAAATGAATCTATAATATTAATTTTTTGAATTTATTATCATTCAATAACTAACGTTTAGCTCTCCGTAGCAGACTCTTGTTCTGATTCATATTTAATATTATCATTTTCTTTAATATTTTTTAATCAATTTTCCTGATGTCGAGTTCTTCAAATCTATTAACTTGAGATCAGAATTGATTGTTTCTTATGGAAATTACTCTTTTCCACATAAATTGTTATTAAACGAGCTGTTTTTGCTTCTGAAATTATTTATGTCACTTAAAATATTTTGATCATCACCACCCTGTAAGATGGCTAATTCTTGAATTATATCACATACTTCATTGAATTCACTACTAGTGAGATGCTCCTCATGATATTGGGGACCCAAAAAATAATCAACATTGTGATCACATGTATTTATATCGTTTTTTCCTTTTTTAAACATATTCTTAATTTTTTTCTTTAAGTTTTTTTTAGAGTCTCCTCCGGTCAATTGACCGACTTGCCAACCCTGAGCTACATAGAGTGCAAGCGAGAGCCATAAATTTGCCTCTTTATGAGTTATATTATTCTTCTTAAAGAGAAACGTGTCATTTATTTGTGCAAATGCTAATGAATGAAGTGGTCAAATTATATAATAATTTTAATGTTTTGACAAATAACTCTTAAATTTGTAAAGACTAATCAAACACTCCTCACTTATTTGACTTAAAAAAACCTCTTTGCGGATATCAAAAAACCCGATAATTCATATTTTAGCTAAGTAATATATTATGCCTATAAGATATTTCTGCAAAAGTTGGCAGAAAGATTTCGCCCTCTTTTTCGATTGGGCTTGGAGTTTTATGTACTTTTGAAATATATATATAGACAAAACAAACACGATCAAATTGGAATCTTCTTAACGCAAGTCGTCAACAAAACGCTCTATAAATGCGATCCCGAGGAGCGGGCCGATACCGATGGCAAAATTGGTGTTTACAATATTCCCTCATACGGTCCTTTCGTATATTGTGGGATTTTAAGTTATAAAAATTTACATATTTTTGAAACACCTGCAAGCTCGTACCCTGTATTTAACCCGCGGAGTGGGTATTAAAGTTGTGAGATTTATAAAAATTCGGGTCGGGCCTATAAATAACTTATCACATTGTTAGACCAGGCCTGGACAAAATATATTTTTGTCCGAGCCAACCTGCCTTAAAATACAGGAAAGATTTTAAATTCTATGAAATTTCGGAGTATTGTTATACCAACTAACTTTCGCAGCTCTATAAACAGCAACCTAGTATTTATCCTAAAAAAAATAGTCATTATCATTGAGTTGAGACTTAACTTAGAGATGTAAATTAATTTTTAATTTAAAATCTTGACCAAGCCATTGGATGGGTTAAAGATAGGTGATTTAACAGGATTATTTTGGAAAAGCTCTTAGTTGTTATAGTTTTCTAAAATTCAAAATTTTTTGAGATAATTGACATTTTAAGTCTGATATAAAAATTAGGAGGACTTCCAATAATTAGACAATCATTACCCCCACCCTCCATTTTACTTGCGTTAATAATTTAATACCAAGTTTATATATTGGAAGCTGATTTTTTTTCATAAATGACTCCTACAGCATTTCACTAACCATTTCTTGTAACTGAAATGCACGAATTTGAGATACGGTCAATTTTTTTAAAAAAAATCTTTTATTAATACTTAGTTAATTAATAAATCGAAGATTTTGATAGTGGGATCTTCTGCCCTTATTGACCCCTTATCGTTCTCTTGGAATGGCAAGTTTTTTTAAAATTAATAGTAAATGCAAGAGCACTGCATCGGAATGTTTATGTGTCTGGTCTAGTTTCTCTTTTTATAAAAATAGATTAGCATGGTCTGGTCCTACATCTATTGTGCCGTACTGGGCCCTATCCAAATCATTTTATACGGGGCATTTAATGATTTTTTTTTGTAAACATAAATATATATATCGCATTAGGTATCGCTGGTTTGTTGCGGGACATAAGATTGAGCAACGATCTCGGTCATCCCCTCTGCGAAAACTTGAGGAAAGGTAATTGGTTGCAGACTTACATAGCCGAACGATTGAAGATTAGCCTTCATACCAAATGTGTAATTTTTTACGAATTTGACCTAACGTCGCTTTATCATAAAATTCTAAGTTACTGGATTTATTAAAAATATCGAAAATGCAATTGCCATCATTTAAATTGTAAAAATTATTCTTCGAAGAAAAAAAAAATTCTTTTGTTATGTACAACGCTGCATATAATTATTTTTTCAAGATAAGCTCATAAATGCTTTTAAAAAATGTTAAAATTAGCTTAAATCATAAAATGAGATTTCAAATTATCGGCAATTATGAGTTGATTTTAAAAGAATTAGGATAAATTATGTTTTTCAACACTGGTTTTACGTTCGACTAGCATACATTTATAAATACCCCCCTTCCCCTTAATAATGTTTATTCATTTTTTAACAACTTTTTAAAATCGACATATCTTATTCATTCGCAGATCGGGATCTGGTTCGAAAACGCCTTCAACCAGCTGAATCAAATACCGAGATACCTTATACCCTTCTACTTCGAGGCCCTCATTAATGGTGCTTCCAGGGTTATTATCGACACGTCAATCAAATCACTCTCGCGGTTTCTTTTTTTAACATTTTATCTATAACGCATGATCATGGTAAGAAAAATAAAGTAACATTTTGATTGGTTTAGAAAGATATCAAATCTTGCAGGCGAGGTTATTTATTTTGTTTACATTTAATCCTCTACCCTAGTTATTTTAAACTTCCATATAAATCACTGATTAGTGATTTGCTGGATTTATTTTTTTTAAAAAAAATACGACCATTCCTTGTTTTTCTACTTCTTTATTATTATTTTTCTCCCCACATCCATTAATCAAATCAAAAATTTACATTTCCCTTATAGATTCATAAATAGAGGAACGCCATTTGCTCAGGGGTTGGCTTTAAGCTCTTTGGCTCTGGTTGGGCAGGTCAAGAATGCTCCTCTACCTTTGCTATCGGCAAACCCCGTCGAACAAGCGAAGGAAATTCAAATGCCTTCAATTTCAGCAGGTTATATCTAACTTTTATAGACTAGCTTAACTCTTTATACTTTTTATATTTGTAAGATTTTTTAAAAAATTATCAACAGAGTTGCACCGATGCCGATATTTGGTATTAAGGCAAGTGCTCACGGCATCGGTTAGTATCAATATCATTTGATACTTCCAATTTAAATTAATTTTGAGCAAACCATTTTTTGAATAAGCCTAAATCAAGAAAATTGACCCTCTCTTTTTTAAGCCATCCCAAATGATGTCACGCCTTTGATTTTGAAATTAATTTTAAAAAAATAAGTTGCGTTTTGTTAACTATATATTCGCGTATTGCCAGTATTTTTAATTTAAATGTGACTCAAATGTTTATGACCTAAATGTTTGAAATTTATAGGCTAGGTATTCTACGCATATTGATCAGATTTTTTTTTAAATTAAAAAAACTTAACAAATTTTTTTTAAACTTTGAATCATTTGTTAATTGAGTTTTATTCTAAAAAAAAATATCAATAATCGTTTACCGGACATTGCATCATTTGTCATTTGTAAAATATACTTACACTACAAATTTCAAACAATGTTACACGCAAAAAATATAATGACTCTGTATATTAAGAATGAAAGAAAGGAATGAATAAATATTATATAAAACATCTTAAAACGATATTTATTTGGAATAAAATGCATTTATTTTATTATAACAAATATAAATCTGATATAAATATATGAAAAAGGCCTGCCACATTTCTCCCATGGTATTTTTAGGATATGGGGAAGGGATACGTTTATCAGCTTTCGCGGGCTCATGTTATTGACCGGGAGATTCGAGGAAGGAAGGTGAGCAATTCGTTTTTTAATTTTATATACTCTCACATTATTTACAAAATATTTCCTCCTTTTTTTCTGCAATTTTGAGATTTATGAGTTTTCGAGTCCTGTCAAAATTTTCGAATAATTGTGTTTTCAATTTTTTTTTAAAAAAAGAGATTTTGAGCAACCACTAACTGACAAATCTTGATGCAATGTATAACAACTACCGCCATAATTATATATTGACATTTTTAAACGATTAAATTGTTCTTTTAATCTTCAAATTATGAATTTATTTACTTATTCAAAAATAAATTTATATTCTGTTCTTAGGAGAGTTTCTGAATAACTTTAAATATGGAAGATAATTTAGGATCAAATATATAAAAAAAATTTTAATGTTCTTATTTGAAAAAAAATAGACATCTGATCCTCGCTTTCGCTCGAGCTCTTAGGCATGGTCTTATGCCCAATTTACTGGGAGAAGGGATATGTGCTCGTTACAATTGTAGAGATGCAGTATGGTGGTGGCTACAATCTATTCAAGATTATTGCGAAATCAAGAATTTCGAGCAAGTGGTATACGATAAAAATATTAAATTTGATTTATTTATTTGATATTTTTTTAATACGATTTAAAGTAAGTTTTTAAAATATGTTTATAAAGAATGCATATAATTAAATTCTATGATATTGAGGCATGTTTTTTTTTATCGAATTCGATCGACTGAGTTATTTTTATTTTATGTTCGTTCGAGTTATCATTATTAATTTTCTCCATGCCTTAAACGCTAAAAAAAAGAAACCGGATATCAATGCTTTATGATTAAAAAAATTTATAACATAATTTGTCCTAAGAGTTATTATTTATTTTTATGTATAACTTAGTATCAAGCTTTTAAAATCGATATTCTCATTTTAAATTTTGCTAGAGATAGATTAAATTTTTAGAGCCAAAACTTTCAAAGATGGCCGCATCTCTTGTTCTTTTTATGTCGATCTCCCTCCTCACCATTTTTTTGAAAAAACTTTTGTCCCTTGAGTGACCACTTTATAAAATTTTTAAATGTATCTCTTTTTTGGAAAAATAAAATAAATTTTAATTTTTTTTAAAAAAAAAGTCAGCAAACTCTCAAAATTATGATAAAAATTTCAAAAAAATTGTTAGCAATGATGTATTCCCAGAGAATTATTCCATCTTAAAAGACAAGGTATCTCGTATATACCCGGAAGATGATTCTGAGCCTCAAGAAATGGGAAAATATGTTAATTTAACATTTTCAATATTTATCCTTATTTTTTTTTATTCTTTCACTTGATTTATTTTTCACGTGATTTGTATATGGTTGTGAAATTATTTTCGGCCTAAACATTCTTTTCTAAAAGTACTCTCGTTTATTATTATTATTTTTTAAAAAAGATTAGGGTTTCGGAAATTTTAAAATCAATCACAGTTTAAACCGATTTTTTTCTTAAAGGAAAAAAAATAATTTTAAGTTTTTAGTAATTTTTCCTTTTTCGAACACATGTTTTTTTTTAAATAAGGACACGTATGACAAAAAAAAAATGTGTAATTTGTTTTATTATTTTTTAAAATTTCCAATAGGTGCAACCTATAAGCGATATCATACAAGAAGTTTTACAAAAACATGCGCAGGGTCTCGCTTTCAGGGAGAGGAACGCTGGGCCTAATGTCGACTCTAATATGAGTAGTGAAGGTCGATTTATCATTTTCGCTTTTATTTATTAATTTTTTTTGTTGTTATTGATTTTATGGATGTTTTACCGTTTTTTATTCTTACATCAGAGACCTACCGGGTCTGGCCTTCGATTTTAAAACCGGATATTTTATCGCCCTTATTAGCCATAAAATTAAAAATAAATGTAATATATTTTTAAAATATCCGGGCCGGGCCGAAGTATTTATTTTTAAAATAAATCCGAGCTTTGCCGTGCAAACTGCACCTCTGTAGGTCTCTGCTTACATATTAAATTTTATATAAGATGGAATTCGAAAAATGAAAAAACCTTTTAAATACAAAAATTAATAATATTTGTTCTAATTTAATAAACAGGTTTCAACAATTCTATCGGGGTCGATTGGAAAACGGGTTTTGTTTACGGTGGCACTGTTCACAATTGCGGAACTTGGATGGATAAAATGGGAAGTTCCGATCTTGCCAAGAATAAAGGCATCCCGGCTACTCCGAGGTGTGTAACGAAAATATTAAACTATTCATTGCGATAATAGGTGTCTGTCTATTTTACCAGTCGAACAGGATTGATTTTTTCATATAAAACCCTGTGAAATTTAAAAAAAACTCTCCAGTTTATTAAAACCAAATTTCTATAGTAAGAAATCGAGCTTATGTTTTACACTTTTAAAATAGACTAAATTATGAGGTAAAAGTTAGCAGCATCTATCATATTTAATTGAAACTTTATTCAAAAAATAAATATTAAACTTATTATAAAAAAAATTATAAATTTCACAAAGAACGATAAATTAGAGAAAATATGGCCTGGCTTGTAATAATTTTAAATTTGTGGTCTGATAAAAAAAAATTTTTTTAAATGCCAACGTCCGGCCCCCGGCCATTTAAAAATATTTTGCTCAAGTATCCCGATGGGAAATTTGGTCTTTCAGACCGGGCCGCGCCGCGCCGATCCATGATAAAAATACGTTTATTTAAAGTTTGTTTATAATAATAGATTTATTAATTCATAATATTTTTTCTTTTATTTTCAAAAAAATCAAATAATTTTTTATTTTTACTCCTTTTTATAGTTTAAAAAAATGGCGCAATAAAACCAGAAATTATATCTTGGCGCAGAAATTTCACGATTTATATAATTCGTGTTTAATTTTTATCATAATATAACCTCTTCATCAGCTTATGTTTATCCCTCTACAAATACTACCGATAAAAACCCTGATATCCCTCTTTCCTGACCTCATGGAATTTTCTTCCTAAGTTTATCACTCATTTCAGAAGTTTACTAATAATCTATGTAGAGCTGCCCCTCCTATTTCTTATATATTTAGGTTTAAATTCATTTTATAGTTTTACCTAAACTTGAATATAGGTTTACTAATTTTACCAGAATCCTATATTTCTTTTAGTTAATTTATATTCGATATATATATATACCCATCTTTAAATCATAAAAATTTACCAAGGGATGGAGCCGCTGTCGAAATTGTTGCTCTTTGTAAAAGCGCTTTGAATTGGCTCATCAAAATTAAAAAGTTGGGATACTATCCTTACGATTCCGTTAAGGTGCACAAACAAACTAAAATTAGTAAAAAAAATTTTATTATTATTATTATATTATTTCTAGCCAAATTATTTTAGACGAAATTGAGTGAGAGTCAAAATCTTATTAATAGGGAAGTCTACAATGTTGGTAATTTTTTTTTGTAAATGAAAGCCTTGAAAAGATCGTTTTTGTTCCCTTTTATTCAAAAGTTGAAATTATAACTTTAAATTATTATTCTTTTATTTTTGTAAATTTCATGATGTTAATAATAATCAAATGCATTAGTTGACATATAATAAAGAATCAAAAAAAACAGATAAGTACAGATTATATAAATCATCATTGAAAAATATATAATTAGTAAACAATTACGAAAAAAAAATCATAATAACAAAAGGACAATATTGAGGCATAATACTAAATAAACAAATAAAAGCGAAAGCAGCAGAAATTATTCAAAACCTCCTTCATCTAATCATCAGGAGAGATCGAATTAATAAAGCAAATTTAATTAGCCTTAAGAATGGCTATTGCGATCCTCTGCCTTAAGTAAAAATCTTCGCGAGGCTCCCCAGAATAACTCAATAATCAAAATATTTTTTCTTTATTATTGTTTTCCATAAATAAATAATCCAATTCATAAATGAAATCAGATGACAATAAAGATCGAACTCGCACGCGTGACTCCAAAAATCAATCAGAGTCCGAATCGATAACCTTAGAAAAGTGGAGCGGTCTTATAGCCCAGAATTTTGAGAAAAAATTTTACATACCCACAGTGGCCAAATTTTTATCAGAGGGAGAGGAGATATACGACACGGACGGTCATAAGAGGCCTAGTATAATGCCCGTTGAGAATAATGCGGACGATGATTCTGAAAATGCGAGTAGTGAGGAAGAAATGACTAGTAAAAAAGCCACCGATAAATCGACTAAAATACTCCGGCCCAACGGAGGCACGAAAGATGGAAAAGAAAATAAGTACATCAACAGGAGAGGCGTATATAAAGACACGTACGGTTCTAGCCAGCCCTGGGCCGACTATCAATTACGCTGCAATTTCCCTGTGGCCATGATTTTAGTTTTTATTCCATTTTTTTTAAAATACATTAATTGTAGATTAAGATTTTAGATTCTATTATATTATACTTAACTAAACTTCTTTAAAATTCATATCGGGTAGGATACATTTTATCACATTTAGAATGTTATTTTATTCGTAAATTCTAATTAACCATTCATTTTGTTAATTTTTGAAATAGGCTCCCGAATTATTTTCGAACGAAAAGGCTTGGAAAGCACTAAAAATCGTTGAAGATATCTTATTAGGTCCTCTAGGCATAAAGACACTAGACCCAACGTAAAAATTTTTTTATATATTTTAATTTATATTTCAATTTATGGATAAAATTATCTGCATTGGGTGAGTGGGCGGGCTAGCGGGTTAAAAAAATTTAATGGGTGGCTGGGCGGGTTAATAAAAATATTTAAATTATGGATGGGCGGGCGTTATAAAAAATTTACAACTTTTTTTAGTTATTTAGAATCATAAGAAAAAAATATACTCCCTGAAATTTCAACATTTTTAATACAAAAGTACCGATAACTGAGGATGTTGTCGGAAGAGATTTATTAGGTAAAAAATATATCGAATGTTGGATTTGATTTACCTGGAAATATATAACATCAACGTAGATGAAAATCTGATTTTTACCTGTTTCCCCAAAAGCAAAGAGAATTCAATTAAATATTATTAAATTATAAATACAATGTTTGGAATAGCATCCACATCAAATTTAAACAACAGCAGATGGGTAGATGTGGTTGTTACAGAGGATAGCATTACCTAATGACATAGAAAAATATTTAAATCTTAAAGTAACGAGTAAGATTTAGCACGATTATAGATCACTTAGTTAAGTTTAAGTTTACAATTTATTAACAATTAATTTTAATTACTTATTGTTATATATTAATAACGGTGTCACTTTTTATTTAAATATCTCACTTGAGTAGAGGATATACTTCAAAAAGATTTATCAAAACTATCAAGATTAGCTTGAAAAATATTGTCAATTCCAGCAATCAGTTCGTCTGAACGACGAATTAGCATTGCTGGAAGGTTTTTAGTATCAATAAATATTAATTTTATACTATTACATAAATATTTTATTAGATCAAATAAATTCCTTATCCTTAATTTAAATTTAATTTTTTTTAATGCTTAATATAGCAATTTTCCTAAATTATAAAACTTTTTTGTAAGGATGTACCGCTAAAACTAAATCATTTTTTTATTAGATTCTTGAAAAAAATTGAAAGAATGAACTTATTTAAATTTTATATGGGCGGCGTGGGCCAAAATATTTTATGAATAATTGGCGGGCGGGTAAGAAATTAATGGACAGGTGGGTAAAGAATTTTAGATTAAAGGGTGGGTTGGATATGCGGGTTAAATTTTTATAAATATTAGTTAAAAATGTTTTATAAAAAAAAGTTATATTTTAATAATTGGAAAAAAACTATATCAGTGATTGGGCCTACAACGGTTTTTACGATAACGATAACAACTCTAATGACTATAATCTGGCGCATGGCTTCAATTACCATCAAGGCCCAGTACGACACCATTTTTCATCATTTGATATAACTGTATTTTATTATCAAACAAAATTAGGAATGGTTATGGCCCGTAGGTTACTTTTTCCGATCCAAATTATACTTTGCCAAATCTCAAAACAATCCTACTTTGTACTCTGAAACCGTAGATTGGGTCAAGCAAAGATTGTCTGCTCATTATGAAGTTTTTTTTAAATATTATTCCTTAATTATTTAATATTTATTGACTTAAATGGGCTGACCCTACAATATAATAAATAGCTTTTTTCATATAAAGGTTCATTTGCACTGTTTCAAGAAATTTGGTTTGACTTGATCACTATTCTATTGAAAGATTTTTTCATAATTGAAGCTTCCATCATATTCAGGAAATTTTGTAATGTTACGGAAAACTTTAAACAATATATAAAATCGCCATTAAGTTTTTACTTAACATTTTCTTATAAAAAAAATATCCTTTATATACCTTGAAATAATTAATTCTCCATCTTTCCTTTATTTTAATATTTAATTCAACCCTCATGAATTTTAATAAATATTATTTTTTTTATAAAGATGCTTAGAAAGCCACCATGGTATGGTCTTCCCGAGTTAACGCAAGAAAATGGTAGAGAATGCCATTTCGGGTGCCCGATTCAAGCTTGGAGTACTTCCTCTATCCTTGAAACGCTATTTGATATGAGGCATTAGAATCCTGAATATGATCTTTCTATTCCTTAATATTTAAAATTAAAACGGTTTTACTTTAATTATATATATATATATATACAAATCGCTAATTTTAATTTATATTGGAATTCTACTTTTAAAAAAATTCAATTTTAAAAAATTAAATATTTTTACTAAAAAATATTCTTTATATCAAATAAATTGTCCCCCATTTAAAAAGAAGCGAAGATGCAATCCATCCGAATTATATTAAATAGAACTCAAATTATATATTTCATTTATTTTAATATATATTACCCCCTCCCCCCCCCCCACCTTTATTTTATAATTTAATACTATTTATATAAAATTGTACTTATTTAATTCCCCCCCCCCTCTCCACCTTCAATTTACAATTTAATGTTATTTATATAAATAATAATTTTTAAAAAATAATTGTAAATATTATTATAATTTTAGAGGTGCAATTTTAAGAAAAAATCAATCAAATGATCCATTCTAAATTTTATTATTCAAAATCGAAAAGTAATATATTTATTTAATTTTAGTGTAATAGTTCAACTTATTGACCACCGTCAATTGAGTCGCATTATAATGAAGGAATATTTTATTAGAAAAATTTTATTGCAAAAATTATGTAAAATTCATGCTTATGACTAAATGTTTTGTTATTTAATAATATTATTTTCTTATTAAATGAAAAACGATTGCGAATATAGATCCCTTTATGATTTTCCCAGATTCTAATATTATAACCAAATACTTTTAAACCCAGATTCTAATATTATAACCAAATACTTTTAAATAAGATTCCATTAAATTATCAAAAAAATATTATAGTAAACTCATAGGCCTAACCAGGATTTTGCTAGGGGGGGGTAAGCACTATTATGTGGGGTTTTCCCCATAAATTTTATAGGAGATTTTTAGATCCAATTATTGTACCTTTTGGCTATATTATATTTTTATAAAAATAATTTTGGGTTTGCACCTATTTTATAAAAAAAAAATACTTTTTTTTTCTTTTTTGAATAATGATTTGGAAAAGTTATAGACTATTACTAATTTTTCTATCAGCTTCTTCATTTACTAATTGATTGTATATTTTTGCGGTAGATTGGAGGAGTGAAGGGGGGGGGGGATTTTTATTAACTTAAGAATGATATTTACGAGAGGCAATTTTCTGGAGAGGAGACCTCTTGCACCCCTCCCCTCCGGCTGCTCCTATGAGTAATCTAAATTAACCATTTTGAAAATCTATAAATTATATCGTATTGCCTTTTTTCAAAAACATTTTCCTTTAGAGATCTACTACCAGTGAGTTAATAAGTTGAGCACTGGGCAGTAAAAATAGTTTTAAAACAATTAGCGGGTGGGTACATTTAATTACTTGGAGCAAAAATATATTAAATATATGCCAAACCAATTATTCCAATAATTATATATGGTCAGGTATTTTTTTAAAAACGGCAGGTTAGATAAATTTTTATTTCCTGTTTGAGAAAATGTTAGGTAGTTACGGTTATTAGATTTAACATGGTTTACATTCCAATGTTCAGGAGCATGAAAAAAAAATTAAACAATAAAATAAACCCTTCTAAATGAATCACAGAAAATGTTCAACAACATACATAAATTAGTTGCAAAATTTTTAAAAATACTTACGGTCCTAGAGGTAGTATTGTTCGCTTTTTAATTTATTCTAATTTTAAGAGTACCCAAATTAGTGTTTAACATATAACCAGGGTCTGGCCGAAAAATATTTTTTTAAAAAAAATTCACTCGGGCCGTGCAAATGATACCTCTGCAGATCTGATTAGTGTTTAAACGGCCTTGAGTCCATTAAGATTTTAGGAAAAATAATAATAAGTAAGACTGAAAATTTATTCCTGATATATATTTCAAAATTATATTTGGTAGATATTACTTTTTTATAATAAGATTCATTAATAATTAAAATATTTATTTTAAAATTCAATATTAACAAATAATAATAATTAATAAGATATATTTTTGATTATAATGAGAATAATACATATCTAAAATTTATATACCATATCTATAAAAAAAATTATTTTAGAAAAGATATATATTAATTAAGTAGGTGGGGGTATATGACCCTATTTTATTTACTAATATAGATTATAATTAGATTTTTAAGTCAATATTTTTTGGCTAAAAGTTTTAAACTCTGTTGGAGTTGGCCAAATTTAGGTTTAAGACCATTAATCGTAATTTTACTTTTAGAAAATTTGATTTTAAAATAAAATTTGATAAATTGTGGGATATCTAATAAATTTATCAATTTTATAAAAGTGTACAGTTTAAAAATATTATCTTTTTACAGATAAATATTTTATTATCTTTAGAATCAATAACAGCATAGGTTATTATTTTTTACAGATAAAAATTTGGTGAATTAATTACCTATTCCTATGAATTAATTACCTATTCCTATGAATTACTTAGCAATTGGCATTATGCATATTTTGAATGCAGCATGCTTAAATTTAATCCTTAGGTATAGTGCCTATTTCCAATCATGCCGATCTGAAGAATTTAACCCCCCTCCCCAGGGGCAGACTGGCGACGCTACGTGAGCATTTTTTTATAGCGGTCTCATTTTTATTGGGGCTTTGCCCCATATATATCTATTTTGAAGGTCTTCGGCCCGCTTTTACCTGATTACCTCTTATTTTTGAAAATAAGTTCAAACGATTTACATTTTTAATAAAAATAGAATAGTATGACACGATAATCATATATTATATTTTAAAAAATTGCAATTCATTGCGCATCTAAAAAAATATTCATTTTACATATTTCTTAAAATCAAATCATATATCATGTGTTAAATTGAAAAGAATAAGGACACTAACGATATGGCGCGAGGTGCGAGTCAGTAAAAATATATTTTATTAACTAACTTCTTTTTCTTTTCTTAAGGTATATATACATTTTCTAAAATATATATTAGAATATATATAAAAACAAAAAGTAAGGTTACGAAAAATAATAAGTAATATAAGTTGAATTACAAAAATTAAAAGTTGAATTGAAAAGATAAATTTGAATTCATAAAAAGTAATACAAGTTGAATTTGAATTCCTAACCAAATAAAAATATAATGAATGTATGCAATATAAATTAAAATATATTACTATTCAATAACCAATATTTTAATTTATTAATTCCTATAATGTAACATAAATATATAATAATATGCAAAGAATATGGGTGGTGACGATATGGTGCGAGGTTCGAGTCAGTAAAAATATATTTTATTAACTAATTTCTTTTTCTTTTGTTAAGGTATTTATACATTTTCTAACATATAAATTAGAATATAAAACGAAATATAAAAAAGTAAAATAATATATAAAAAAGTAAGGTTACGCCGTTTATAAAATAAAATTAGATTATAACAAAAATAATAAAAGTTCAAATGCAAAAAACAAAAAATAAGATAAAGGAATAACGCAACATTCTCCCTCTTCTGATAATTTCATCGGAGAAGTCATAGAGAGTTTGTTGTTCAAGTGGTTTATAATTTTGGTAATCAAGTTGTATCACATTTCTCAAATTTCATAATTAATCAGTCGAATATTGGAATTTGGAATAAATCGGAATATATAATTTGGAATAGTTGATCAAATCAAATATATGAATAATATGCACGAAGAATAAAATTTTGAATTTTGGAACAATAAAATATGTAATAAGGAATGATAATTTATGTAATAAGGAATGATATTTATGTAATAAGGAATAAAATTTTAATCCAGAATAAGGAATGATAAATTATAATAATTATTATATTATTTTTAAGTTAATCATAGCGTTTTATACTTTTAGCGTTTTATGCGTTTTATATTTTTAGCGTTTTATATTTTTTGCGTTTTACATTTTTTAGCATTTCATATTTTATAAGCGTTTAATTTTTCGTGTTTTAGTGTTTAATTAATTTTTGTTTATTTTCTATCTCCCAGGTTAAAATATGCAAATAATATATTATTCACATTTCCCTCTCTTTAAATAAAATTTTAAATTTCACACCCTAATTTTAATTCAAAAAAAAATTCTTCATAAGATAGTTTTGAAAATTCACCACATAATTTAAATATATTTTTCTAAAATGAATGTTTTTTTTTTTTGTCTTCAAAGCTTTTATTTTCAAAAACTTTTTATGTTGTATTACTTATAAGGGTTATTTGAATCAATCATGTGATTTAAAAATTACATTTTAACATATTTAAAATTAAGTTTTAGGATTTTTAATATTTTTAATTATATTTAAGAATTCATCTTTAGGTTTATGTTAATTTACAACAATTGGTCATCATTCAAGAAATCAAAAAATATCAATATTATCCATTATGATTTTACATTTTAGTAATTTTAAAAATTTATAACATGCCTTTATCCTGGCATAAAATTTTAATTTATAATACTTCTTACGTGGATTAGAATAATAAGTAACCATCATTGGTCTCACAAAATAGAATTCATAACCTATCGTTCAACTTCCATATCAGTTCTTCCTAGGTTGTCACATTAGGTTAGGTGCTGGCTATTATATTCCAGTCCAACATCCAGAGCCGGGACACCATAAAGAAAGAAGCTTTTTGCATGAAAGAACGTACTAAGGTTTGATTCTTGGTAATCTCAGTAGTTTAGGTAGTCACAATAGATAAGGTAAGTCATAACATCACAATAGATAAGGTAGTCATCTCCATAGGTTAAGCACAAGGTAGAGTCATAATAGGTAGTCATCTCCATAGGTTAAGCAATCAACACAATAGGTAGTCATATAAATAGAGTCATCTCAATGGATTAAACAATCGTCACAGTAGGTAGTCTAAATAGAGTCATCTCAATGGATTAAACAATCGTCACAATAGGTAGTCATATAAATAGAGTCATCTCAATGGATTAAACAATCGTCACAATAGGTAGTCATCTTTTTCTAGTCCACCACCCAAAGGGCACCATGCAAAGAATATGGGTGGTGACGATATGGTGCGAGGTTCGAGTCAGTAAAAATATATTTTATTAACTAATTTCTTTTTCTTTTGTTAAGGTATTTATACATTTTCTAACATATAAATTAGAATATAAAACGAAATATAAAAAAGTAAAATAATATATAAAAAAGTAAGGTTACGCCGTTTATAAAATAAAATTAGATTATAACAAAAATAATAAAAAAGTTCAAATGCAAAAAACAAAAAATAAGATAAAGGAATAACGCAACATAATACATACACAATATATAAATTCAATTAATTACACATAAAAATTATTGCAATTTGCAATTTTACACAGAGAATAAAATTGCTGCACTAATAAAATCAGGCACCGATCATATTGTAAATAGATTTAAATACAAGAATTAAGATAATATATCATTTTGAACCTTTGCATAAATAAACAAGAATATCTTCTAGTTCATTCTGCGCTAATAGCTCTCGTTCAATTGACATCGTTAAAAATGCTTTTAATTTTTCTTGGCCTATATTAGCTCTCAACCTATTTCTTATAATTTTTAATTTACTAAATGTAATCGCAATTAACCTGTGTAAATAACAAAGTTAAAATGTATTCATATGCCAAAAATAAATTAGTGTGTGCACTTGTATGCATATTGTATCTTTTAAGAATTTCATAAACGCATAGTAAACACTTGTTACAATTATTATCACACTCTGGATTATTACCATATTGTAATATTCCATCTACTTCATTTTTCTCACTGGTACATAAAATATCATAGTCCGTTCCATTTAATTCTACAATTAAATCTTTGAATACACTGGCAAATAAACACAATTCGTTACGTAATTTTACACTCAATATATTTGCCAATTGTGCCAGTTTTTCCATGACCTTTTCAGAATACCTTTTCTATTTATTTCATCAAAATGCCTTGGATGCAAATATTGCACATTCAAAATAAGCCAATATTCGCAAAATCTAGTTGCGAAAAGCTATTCATAATTTGTTCAATTAAGGACGAAATACTTCGACCCTATAAAGGTCAATCGATTCTTAAGGACATTTATCTTGACTTTCGTCACTATATATTCTCTTCTCTCGTCCAATTCGATCTTTTTACAGAGCATTTTGTACTCAGATACTCTCCTGGAGCTGTAAATATGAAAATGTTTTATTTAAATTAGAAGATATTTTTATTATTTTATTTTGATTCGATGTAATAGTTATTGATGATACAGAAGACTTAGCATCTTCTATCATTTTCCATGTTGATAAAATTTTTAAATTTTGAGTTTGAAGATATAATGACATTGACATAAATTATCGATCAAAGACTAAGCTTCTTATGAGGTTTTTGCCTCAAATGATTTATTTTTTATTATAAATTCAAGTGCACATATTCTTATTGGAAGCAAGCTCTCTTTACCATATATCCATCTAAGGGCTATTTCATGTGCCCACCACCTTGTCTCACCTATTTTTTGCAGCCTTCTCAACTTATTTTAACCAGATGAATTATTCTGTTTTACCCAAGCAACCGTCCTTTTATATGATTTACCAAAGAAGTTGCTAGTCTGTTCAATAATCTAAATAAATTTTTGCCTTCAATATTATCGCATGAATCACATATACAGAGATTTAATATGTGACTCTAACACCAAATATATAAAACTACCTAGAGCCTCTAGTCTAATAAGAGCATGCAACCCAAAAAATTCACCCCGCTATTTGCAGCACCATCAAATGATTCTCCTATTATATTTCTCATTTGAATTCCATGTTTTAAAAGCATTCACACAAGATATCAAAAATCCTTTTCAGAAGAGTTTGTTACTTTTGTAAGTGCGAAAAGCCTTTCTGTTATTTTGTCATTATATATATATATTTTAGGTAAACGGTTGCTTGATCATAAACGCTAATTGAGTAAAATCCATTTGCAAACTAAACCGCTTGTTACCAATCTCCTTTATTATTAAATTCCTGATTTGATCAATAACAACATCAATAACTTTTTAACAGTTTTTTTTTGACATCAAGTTATCGAAAAACCTCTTATCTTCGATTATGATTTGTCAGAGAGTTTAAGCTTTTCTTTTCTATATTTGGTCTTTAAAATAGCTTACTCCAAATCTCTATCATTCTTTGATATAATACGAATCATTTCCAGGAAATTTTCGTGATTCAAATTTTCAAATGGCTAAGTGTTTAAGTAGCGTTTGATCCTCTGTAGGATAAGTTTTATCTGCCTGAATACTTTATTATCTTCAATATTTGTTTATTATGGGGACATTGTTGTAAATTTGTCGATTTTTTCCATTTATTATTTTAACACTAATTCAATTATCAAATGACTTGTTTTTTGATGCTCTGAGGTAGGCCTCGATCGCACCAATATGAACTCTTGAATTTCATGCATTTTAATTACTAAATGCATATGTCGAAAATTTGTGTTGTGAAAGTGTTTTCGCATACTGCAAATGCCAGGCAGATTGAGCAGTACACAGTTTTGGCTTTATTGCATATTAGTTTTATTGTAGCACATAAATTAACATTCAATTAATTAATATTAAAAAAAAATTTTGAAAAATCAGATTGATCAAAAATTTCTTTTATTAAAATTATTATACCTGGGTTTTATTCAATTTCAATGAGTTAAGAACAAGAAATACAATCATAAATGTTGGCTATATTATTTCTACAATTAATCAATGTATAAAAATATAATTAATAAATTAATCAAAACTTAGCTTCACTCTACTCAAACTGAAACGGAAGCATTTTTGCTTCATTGAAAAAAAAACAAAAAAAAGCACGTGGTAATGATGTATAGTATCAAGCGACGTTATTGATATTTTATGCATTAAAATATAGTAAACGACATAATTCTCAAGGAATGTGATATTCAAATAATATAGAATAGATATCATTAAAAATAAATAAATGATAAGAGAAAATAATGTAAACATAATAATTTTTTTTTCTAATCGGCCTCTTTTTTGATATTTTTCTCTGATCGGCCTCAAAAATCGACATTTTTTCGCGGCCTCTTAGACAAAATGCCCACCTGGTCTTATGGTCAGTCCGCACCTGCCCCTACCCTTGACGTTCATATAATAGTTAACACATTATTTTATTCTAACATTAGTTTAATAAAGTGTCGCGTCCCAACTCTAAATAATGCTGAGATATCTAACATTTTCGGTAAAACTGTAACTTACTTTTCGTGTTTAATATAGGGAAACACATGTATTGAGACTAGTGATATTGATTGGACATTATATGTAAACACATTTTCTCCCATCTAATAATAATTTACGTCCATTAAGTATACCTGAAAAATCTCAAAAATACACACATCTAGCGACAAAAATATATTTATATTAATTGTAAATCAACAAACTGCTCAATTGGAGGGAGGCTAAATGCCTATTCAAACCATCAGCCTGAAGAGCCCTAAAACAGCAATCTCTTTAATCAAGCAAGAAATAAGCTTTGAAATTATATTAACGTTACAATTTAAAATTTGATATGGCTGTCACCAGAGGAAGATGACTATATTCAACTTCTTATTTTAAATTTAATATATAAAAAATATTCTTTATATAATTTTGGTATTTTCTACATAGTTTACATGTAATTTTTAACTACTTTAATATTAATTATTAAGTTAATGAAGCATCAAAATAATAAAATTATCACACAAGTTATTATAATATGTAACCCTACAAATATCGTTTCACCTCCGCAACTCTGCCTCCGACAACATTTATATACCTAACATTTTTATTAATTATCTATCATTTTGTCATGGAATACCCAAATCATTTGCAAACAGAAAAAGCTTTTGGTACATATGCATTCGAGAATATACCGGATAAAATGATTACAGGGTTTGTATATTTTAATTCTTTGCTATAAATTTTCCCCACAGGCTTAAAAAGATTCATGATCAGATTACGCCATCTCATCCATTAGAAACTGCAAATTATATAGTATTTATTATAAATTTAAACAAATATATTTAACATATAAGAGAAAACAAGATGAAGAAAATCCCTTTACTAATCTATCTATGGGATTAAAATTAAAATTAAGAATGGAAAAAAAAGCTGTTGAGAAGGTAAAAATAAAAATATTATAATAAAAATTATTAATCTTATTTATAGATTTCTCCACTGTCATGTCTGGCTCCATGTAATCCTTCACTTAGTACACTAATGGAAAATTATAATACCATTGATTTCACTGATATGTTGAATAGTAATTACATTATGATTAATTTAGTCTCAACATGATTTTAGATTTTTCCGAATCAAAACCTGAGCCCAGATTAATGATCGAAAAATTTAATAAATAATTTTTACTAATTATGAATTTTTATATTACTACAACCATCATTTTAACATTTAATATCATTATTTTGTCCTAATTTATTTTTTATAATTAATTAATATAGTAATTACATTCTTCAAACTCCAGTATATTTTATCACTGTTTTGCAAAAGATATGATAATTCAAAAAATTTAATTTATAATACATTCATTATTATCAGTTTCATTTAGAGAAGGTTATATGGTCCATTATTCTGAAAATTAGCTTGACTACTCTATTACAAAATTTAATTGTAAATTATTTTTAATAGTGAGTCTTTTGCAAAATCTTAATTCTATAGTATGATTTTAGGACCCTTTTTTATATAATAATTATTGAAAATTAAAAAATAAAAAACATTGGAAGGGGTTGAAATGGATTAGTGACTTGAATAAGAATCACAATAGGATTGATAATAGGAATGTTTGTAGATAGAAAGTATAAATGACAAGGGAAATTCAAAGAAGTTGACCCAGAAATGGCAGTATTTGAAATTGGACTCAGAGGCTAATGAATAAGTTTTTTAAAATTTAATATATAATAGTTAAGAAAAATTTTAAAAGCCAATTTTTAATTGTAAAACATTTTTGGTGTAAAGTTCTCCAGAGTTTAGGTTTCATGTTGACAATTAAATACATAATAAAATATTTCTTATTATATAAAACTTTCCTAATCTTTATCCTTAAATTTTTACAGATAATATTTTTACAAAAGTTTGAATCATTTAACATAGAATCATATTTAATGCGAAATGTAATTAATCTGCCTATTCACAAAATGTGAAATCTGTTCTAATATACATTTTACCAGATCCTGCTTAATTAATAAGTGGACACTTTTTTAAATGTTTAATGATAGTAATAATAAGGGAATTTAAAATATTTTAACTGATTTTAATGCTGAAATATTTTATATCATTTACATTATTTTTTTAATTAAAATTTTCAACCCTTGTATTTAACTTACTTGAGCCAAACAAACAAGTTTGGAGGATTTCATTGTAAAAATAAGAAATATGCCATATTTCTGATACCATAATACCAACATGGTATTGATCAATATGAAATTAATAATGTAGTATATAAGTTCTTTTATTTTAGATATTTTTATTCATAGTATAATATAGTCTACCATTTTTTTATAATTCATATTTTATTTGGTTATAATTTTTGAGCACCAATTAAAATTTCATGTACCAATAATATCATGAGTATTGGCCTGATAACAATATCAACAAATTTTTTAAATGAATCAAAAATATTTATTTAAAATTATCCATGTTTGTTCCATAAGAATAATAAGTATATGTACCAATCTAACTGAACTTGTCAGTTAGTATTTCATTTTCTCAAATTGATCAGATTTGGCCCTTGATTTTATTTGGATTGGATTTAGCGAAATTAACTATTTTGTCTTCCTAAGATATACTTAACATATATTTTTTCAAAATTAAAAAAGAAACTAATATGCTTTTTCATCCATATTATTCAATAGGAAAATAAGAACTTCCTTTCATCCTATGATTTTGAAACCATACTAGTTTTCTTAGAATGTTAGACATAATTAATTTTAAAGAATATTAATAAGATTATATTCAACTGTTAATTAACACTATGTGGAGCATAAATTCAGTATAATTAGCTGTATGATATCCAAAAATTTGAGAAAAGGGGGGGGGGGGTCACTTTATTCTCTAAGTTCTTTGAAGGTTAAAAATAGTTTCCTATTTATATTAACTTTCTAATTAGTAATTTGTTTCTAAAAAGATAAAGAAATTGTTTCTATATTTTGAATGATTAAAAAATCAATTTATTAACAATATATTTGATTTAAAATTTATTTAAAAAAATATGATTATTTATAACATGAAAAATAATTTTATTAATTAATTATATGCAGTATCTTTAAATAAATTTATCTTTGGATACATCATACACCAAAGGATATTACATCTAAGATTTAATTTATCTGAATCATCAAATTTATCATACATACTTTTAAAACTTTTGAAATATGTGAACATATCATCAGCAATTGAATCTTTAATTAATTTAATTTTTTCTTGTTCTAATTGAGCAATTTTGTTAAATATTTTATTAAAATTATTAGTATTGTATATAGGCATTTTTTTATTATATTCTTTGTGAAGACTTGATTCTTCTATAGGTGAAATATCTTCAACAATTATGTTATGCTGGGATAAATCCTTTAAATTAAAATCCTTGTTATCTTCAATTGAGCTAGGTAAGGATAAATCCATAAAATTAACATCTGTATATTTGCAGGTGTCCATGGACATGCTTGCTGAGTTCCCTCTTGGTCGATGTTTTGTTACTATATCTAAAAATCTCATAAGATGTGCATATTTATATTCACATATATCATTCCCTTTCCCTGATGGTGTTAGAACTTTTTTCTTTTGCTTTCTGTAAGCATCTTTTATATGTTTGAATTTTGTTTTTGCAGTAGAGGCTATAAAAGTATAAGTGATATATATTGTTTAAATTGTCACCAATAAATAAAAAGCATTTTAAAAATTATGAAAAATTAAATATACATGAGACGCCATGGATTGCACCTATTTCTTCCCATCCCCTGTATTTTAGCTTCCTATTATAAAACTCTTTATCTTGTGGATTCCAAAGGTTTTCTCTTGATCTTACATCGTCTATAAGATTAGGAGTAATAATAATACTCATCTAATAATAAACACAAATTTTAGTTCATTTAAATACAATCACAACTTGAAATTTAGTACATAATATTATGATGTATATTGTTGTGATATAATAGCTGACATTTTAAAAAAAGTGGCATTATATTTAACGCATCAAAATTACCGCACCAAAAAATGCGTCCTATCTGATAAACATTTCTAGTCCAAACATAATTGAGTAAATCGGATGAATTTTGAAGATCTTAACATTAACAGGCTGTTTTGGTCAATCATCATCAAAAAAACATGCAAAATAAAAATCAAGCTTCTAAGATATTTTTGAAAATCTTTGCTTAAATTATATAAGATTTGTTTAATTTTAGTTTCAGATTAAGATTTATAGACTGAAGAATATTAATTTGATATTTCAGGAACATGGATCAGCAAAATATTTTTTTATTTTATCTACAATTCATGTAATTTGAAAAATTTATGTAAAAACCAGATATCTGTTGCGATGCATAGAATAACTATTTGATTTTACTGAACTACCCAGTTAAAACCCAAAACTTATTTGAGATATCATTATTAAAGGTATATGAGGTTTCATTTAGCAATTATTGTAATAAGCTTACTAGAGATCTCCTATTTTGGGTGATTGTAGTCTGGTCGGTTTCTAAAATATTTTTAATATTGGGTGGGGAAAAAATTAATGGGTGGGTGAATTTTTAAAATTTTTCAGGTGAAATAAGTAGAAGAGACTTCAATTAATTATAACTGATTTATCTTCTAGCAGAACTACTAAGATTTCAAACTTGATGATCTACATTTTTAGCATTTTTATTTTATAATATTGCATATTATATGTGTTTAATTAAAATAAGAGCCAAAAAAGTCATTAAAATTATTTTTGAACATTAGGCGGGATGCCTAAACAAAATTTATAGATATGGCGGGTTAATTTTCAATAGAAAATTATATGGAGGCAGGCGGGCGAGTTAAAATAATTTCAAAACAACGAGTTTTTGGCAAAAACCCGCCGAATGTAGACCTTTAAAACTTTGGCCCAAATTTAATTTTGGCTTAGTACTAATTTTTAATTTTTTGGATTAAGTTTAATTCTAATTGCATATTTTCTTAGTAGTTATTGCAGCAAGCCCGAAATTTAACCCAAGTTTATCTTAACTTGATACGTTCTTTATAGCAGCTGAAATTGCATTAATGGTTAGTTTAGGACTATGCTACAAAGATACGGGTAAGGATTTATATATAATTATCAAAAATTTAATAATTTATCTAAACCCACTATATTCAGTAAAATCTAAAAGACGCTTAGGGTTACTAAACTGAGCGACGTATCTAATAGGTATCTTGTAGTTTTTACCAAAGTACGCGGTTCAGGTTATGTCTTAATACCGAGATCGTGAAGCGCGTTAGTGGTACCTATGCAGAGTTGTTAAAGAATCGAACCAAAAGATCGCCGATCGGATTCGATCCTAAATTTGTCAATTTTCTTGGATTTAAGATCCTGACCTTAAATTGTGGATCGTGATCGAGATCATTTTTTTAAATATTCGATCCAGATCCTTTTAAAAATCATTTTTTTTACTTAAAAAGCAATAAATAAAATTAAAATTTTGAAAATTAATTTAAAATATTATTTAAAAAAAATATCTATCTACATCATATTTTATCAACCACCATTCCACCAGATTTTATATTTCAACAATTTACCAATTGATTCATAATATTTTTAATGATTTCTTTTAGCCGTGAAATTTTTAAACTGATTTTTTTCTCGATTCACGCATATAAACATGTGAAAATTAAAATATTTTCCGGAATTTAATACTTCAAAATGGCCGAAATGTATCCATTTTATATAGTTGAGCAAAAAGAATTTGTTAAAATGATGGAAGAAATATTAGGGCGGTTCATCCGGTGCTAAAATTTTGGAAGTATAACTGAGAATACTGTAGTGTATGGATGAACCATCAATAAAAAATAATACTATATCATACTGATCAGGCAAATTTCTTTTATTTAATCATTTTTATTTACAGATTCTATGAACATTAAATCTCAATATTGATATCAATCATTAAGACTTGCACTAAAGAATTTAAACTTAAAATCAGCCAGCACCCACCCTTAAACGAATTAAATCATACTGTAGTTCTCGGGTATAAGCTCTTTTTCTGCCCCACTGCTTTTTAATAAGACTAGAGGTTTACGTAACATTTTTCTAAATGTTGCAACTACAAGTATGTGCGACTTGTACACAAACGTGTTGAGGGCTCCTCATATTTTTACTTTTACACCCAAATTAAATTAGTTCCAATTAGATGGAAATGAGGAAAACCTAGCGTAGCTCTGCTGAACCTTCAACGTAGAGGGAAAAAGTGCTATATATCACGTATCACATAATTTACCAATTTTTTTGTACGAACAAGTTATATTTATTTATAAGATAAATAAATAGCCATTATAGATTTAGTAAACATCTACTTCTATTGATGTGACAGCAGATATAAGTGAGAATGAGAATCTTTTACTATTTCATAATTTACGTAAGTTTTTTACTTTATGTGAAACGGATGGAAACCATACAATAATCTATGCATAATGCTCTTTATGCAAAAATAAAATATCTTCTTCGTTGATTAGCAGTTCAAACCTAAAGAGGCATTTAGAAGTAATTAATTCTTTTAAAAATACAATTATTATTTGTGATCATAACAATATACATATAATAAGAAATATTTACAATAATTAATAAAATATTTATTGATGTGTTAATCTTAATTATAATGATCAGGAATTTAATATTATTATTAATATTAGCCCATTCTTTGCATTTATATGAAAGGGAGACAAATATTTTTAATTGGAGTTAAAATTAATTTTTAGTATTTAATACCCTTCAACCACATATAAATAATATACTTAACTTAATATATTTAACAAAATTTGTGTTGAAGCCTTTATTCATAAGTTTTTAAATAATAAAAAACTCATTTTTATTCATATCACAGGAAAATATTTTATCAAAATCTTTTGCCCATATCATCTTGGGCAGCTTTTAATGATAGACAATTTTAACTTGAATTTTTAAGATAACCTATATATATGACCCTTTTAACCACATGCAAATAATATAAATTTGTGTTGAACCATTAATTCATAAGTTCTTAAATCCTAAAAAGCCTAAGTATTATTCATATGATAGGAAAATATTTTCTCACAGCTTTTAATAAAAATTTTAATGGGCCAACATAGGCATTAAAAATTGTTAAATTTAATCAATATTATACATAGGATTGGTCAGGCCTGACTGTATTTGAAAGGGCTAACTTGGAGATACCTGATTTATATGAATGAACACTTATATAATAATAAATTAATTATCATTTATTAATATTTCCTTCACTATATGATGACAGTAATATATTGGCATCAATAATTCACCCAAAGTTTAAGCTCAATTGGCCTTTTATTAATCTGCCACAAAATTTGCTGCTAAAAGAAAGGTTAATTGCCCATTTAGAAAATATACAGTGTCAACCATGCAGATTCTTCATATGAAGGCATGGATGTAATTGATACCTTTTTGGGGAAAAATTCGTCACAAAATGCTTTTTCCATTAATAATTTTTTTTATTCTAATGATGATTCTGTGAATATTTTTAATAATTATGTTAATTTAAAATAAACATTTATTAAATATAACACACCTTTACCATCAAGCGCTCCTGTAGAGCGCTTGTTTAGTAAAGCTAAATATATACTTAATGAAAAACGTGGTTGTTTAAATGATGATAATTTAGAAAAAATATTATTATTATATGCTAATTTTAATTATAAATATATAAATTCTAATTGTTATACTTATATATTATTCAATTACAATAAATTTATACCATATTTAATTAATTTTTATATTAGTTAATTTTGCATCGATCAGAAATTTGAATAAGAAAAGGATCGTGATCGTGATCCTTTTTTAAAAAAAAGATCGATCCTGGATTTCGATCCTATTTTTTTCAAAAGATCGAGATCGTGATTCGATCTTTTTAAAAGGATCAATTAACAATCCTGTACCTATGGCTATACTACTAAGATAAAGGTTAAGGTATATATTAAATTATTATAAATAGTTATTACCGCCAAACCCACTGCTTTTGATAAAAATTAAAAATACTTATTGACTGCTTAGTGCACATAATACCAAGCTGGTGAACTGCATTAGTGCTTATCATATGGCTATGCTACAAAAATAAGGGTTTATGTTAGATTATATACTATAAAGCCACCAAACCCGTCACATTCAGTCAAATTTATAACTGCACAAATTGAACTAAAAATCCATGTAAAGTAAGATAAAATATATGAGAATTTAATTTCAAATTAGTTTTTGTTAAATGTATAACTATATATATATTGTTATTTTTAATATAAATACATTATTATGATTATCTAAAAAATAAATCTAGAATAATATCTTTTTTCGTGAATGAAGTTAATTCTATTATGCATCCTTTAATTGAGATTTATATGTTATTTTGCATGGATTAATATCCATATTTATTATATATTTGATTGATATCAGAGTTGTTAAACGCTACTTTTAAAAGTAGCGCGCTACCGATATCGCTATTTGTTAAATAAAGTGCTCAAAATCAGCTCAGATTTTTTATTTTGGCCCGGATTTATAAATTCAAATATTACATAGTCTCTGTAATTATTATTATAAGTTAAGTAATGATAATGGCCAGCTCTGATTTTTTATTTTGGCCCGGCATAAATTCATATCATTTTTTGATCCGGATCTGCTCTGCACTATTTAATTAAATAGAAATGTTTTTTAAAGTCAAAATCCTTCAAGGATTTGAGGTTTTAAATAATAAAACGAAAGTTAAATAAATTTAGTTCACCTTTACACATTTTCATCAACTTTTAGATATTTATTGAAAATCAAATTTTTACTTTTAAAAAAAAATTATTTTTACACAAATTTTAATCATTTTTTTTAGAAATATAAAATTTAAATATCAGTTGGAGATAAGAGGCTTTTCACAATTTACTATCTCTTAAATAGCGCCCTTTTTTGTTTTTATAAGAATAAGCTAATAAATAATATAACTATAAATTCTGTGACGAAATAGGAAATTTGCAATTCAATCTGATCTCCTCTAT